GCCGTCGCCGACGCGGACGAACATGGGGCCGGCGAGACGGGTCGTCTCGGCGCCGCGCGCGTTGGAGATCCCGAGAAGGGACGTGGGGCGACGCGCGGTGCAGGATAGCGCGCGAGACGTCGCGGGCAGGCGGTTGAGGAGGCGGGACGACGTCGGAACCGCGACGCGGCGTTCGTGGACGCGCGAGAGCGAGGATGAGACTTTGCGTCGACTCTTGCGCATCGCGGGATTGGCGGAGGAGCTCACGGGGGCGGAGGCGCGACGACGGGGGGGCGCTTCGGTGAACGCGAGAGACGCGAGAGACGCGAGAGACGCGAGAGACGCGTTCGACGAGGTCAAGGAAGCGGTTGAGTTTTTGAGTTCTCCTCGAAAGTCGTCCCCGCGCGCGCCAAAAGCGCGTTTGTAATCTATTATCTACTGTACGTTATCACAACGCGCGAAAACAACGACGCGTGTTTGTCTTACGCTTCGTCGCCGTCGAAGACGCACGTCGGGAGGAAATACTTATCGCCCCACCAGTACCGGCGCTTCACACCCTCCCAAATCTTCGCGTCCGTTGTGTCGATGTCGTGCACGGTGAACATTCCGCGACCTTTTGGCGGGACGAAACCCAAACGCCCGAGTTCGATCTCCGCCACGCGATTGTACACGCAGTGGAAAAAAATGTTATCGGGACACATCCCGTTGAAGTAGCTATAGATTCCGCCCTTCCGTAAGAGTTTCGGAAGCAACGCGTGAAATCGACGCATGTCGTCGTACTCCTCCCCGTACGTGTCGAAGAAGATGGCGTCATATTTTTTCCCCTCTTTCGCCAGCCGCGGTAAGACGTCTTGCCATCGTCCGGGCTCCACGCGCACGCCCTCCCGCTCGTCCCAACCCGCTCGCATCATGTGCGCTCGAACGTCCGGGTGCGCCTCGACGATTGTATGACTCCTCGTCGTCCTCTTTGCGATGTGTCCGTCGATGATTCCCATCCCGAACCCGACGTTCATCACATCCCCGGCTGAGGCGCACAGCGCCTCCGCGTGCGCCTCCATCAACGGCTCCTCCCACGACATCATCACCGCGTCGCCGTCCTCGTCCAACAACTTATCATCGCCGTCGTACCTCACCGGTGTTTTGAGATACCTCTCGCTCTCTTCGTTCTGCCGACATTCACCTCTCGTCTCTCGCATCGACGCCTCGCCGAGCGCCACCTCGCTCGCCACCGCGTGCTCCATCATCGCGCTCGCGAGCGCACCGTGGCCGTGGCCGCTCGCGTATTGCCCCGCGCAATCCCCATCATCGTCCACGTCGGTCCAGCGCACGCCGTTTCGTAATAAATAGTCCACAATCGTCGTCGAATTCGCCGCCGCCGCGTGGTGCAGACAGTGCGCGCCGTTTTCGTCCCTGAGCGTCGGATCACCGCGCTCGGTGGATGATTCGCGCTCACACAGAGCGATGAAGGTTACGTGGTCATCCGCCTTGGCGCACTCGCGCAGGCGCTCGTCGGGGGTCATCGAAGGCGCGACGCGAGCGTCACGAAGTGAAGTTTACTTTTTGGCTTCTTTGGTTTGCGTTTTTCGGCGTCGCCACGCGTCTACTCTAAAGCACGGAGCGCGTTCGCGCGCGAGGTGGTGAGGTCGTGTTCGCGGGTGATGGATGCTAAGGCGGCGGTTGCGGCGTCGGTGATGGTCTTTGCCGTGACGTCGTCGAAGGTTCCGCGGCGGGCGAGCGCGCGACGCGCGACGGCAATTTCCAATTCGGACGCCTTGACGCTCGCGCTCTGAATGACCTCGGTCGGTAGACCGGCCATGCGGGCAACGTTGAGCCCAAATGATCGGTGGGCAACACCGGGTGTGATTTTGTACAGGAATTGGATCCTCGGGACGTCATCCGATGAACCTGGGAGCTCGACGTAGGAGGTGAAGCACGAGGCGCAGTTGGCGGCGTGCTTGGCCTCGACATCTCGCGCGACTGACGGATAGTGCGTGACGAAGAGTGTGAAGCACTTAGCGTCTCGCACCAGGTGTTCAAGTGTCGCGGCCGCGATGGCAACGCCGTCGTGCGTCGAAGTCCCTCGTCCGAGCTCGTCCATAATGACGAGCGATTTGGGGGTGCATGCCTCGAGAATGTTTGAAGCCTCAGACATCTCCTCCAGAAACGTGGACGATCCCATCGCGAGGTTATCGCTCGCGCCCATGCGCGTATAAACGGCGTCAAGCACCGTGAGGCGCGCGCACTTTGCCGGGACGAAACTTCCGACCTGCGCCATGATGCTCAGTAGAGCGATCTGCCGAATGTAACAGCTCTTGCCGCCCATATTTGGGCCCGTGATGACGAGCGCTCGTGTGCGATCCGCCGCCAGGTCGACTCCGTTCGGCACGAAGCTGTCCAAAAGATGCGCGTCGAGCACGGGGTGGCGACCTTCCTCAAAGTACAGCACCGGCGTAGCCGTGTCATCCACGAGCTCCGGTCGGACGTATCCATCGTTGCGCGCCACGATGGCCAACGCGTGCAACGCGTCGAGCGAGGCGATGGAGCTCGTCGCTGCTCTGAACGTGGCGTAATTTTCTCGAAACGACGATAGGAACTCCTTCCAAGCCGCGTCCGCGCTCATCATATGCCGTTCATTCGCGCGCTCCAGAGCCGCCACGGCTTCCGTGACCTCGGGCGGGTGGTAACGCACCACCTTTTTACTCTTGTTTGAGCTCACCTTGATCCATGTCACCGGACATGACTTATCCATAGGCACCTCTATCAACCACTCACCGCCGCCGACGCCGCCGACAGTGGTGTACTCAAGGCGAGGTATTCCCAGTTTCTTTCGTAACTCGGGGAGTAAATCCGCCAACGCCTGTTTCGCGTCGTTCACCGCCGCGACGGTGGCGCTCAGTTCGGGGAAGCGCTCCGGATCATCCTTGAAGAGCCCGATCTTTGTCTTGGACGGCTTGTCCACGCACGCTACGTCCAGATTGAGCGCGCTCATGAACGTTTCCGCCAACACACGAAGCGACGGGTCGGCGATGGCTGAGATGAGCTCGACAAGAAGCGTCGATGTGAGGTCGCCCTCGACACCTTCTCGCATATTGCCGCATGCTTCGCCAAATCTAGACAGAGACGTGAGAGCGCTCACGAACTCCGATGGAGTCGCAGTACCGTGAAACACGCGAGCAAGCTGTCTATCTAAATCTGGAAGCTGTTTCAACTGCATCTTGAGCCCGTTAAACGTGCTGTGGTTCCGCTTATCGAGATCTCCTTCCTCAAAGGAAGTCAAATCGCGCAGCGCTTCGACGGCGTCGAGCCGCCTCTCGATGGCAACCTTTGAGTGCAACGGATGGCTGACCCAGTGTCTCAGTAACCGCCCGCCCATCGCAGTCGCGGTGTGATTCATCAACCATAGTAAACTACCCTTGTACGCGCCGGCCGATGATGTCAACACTTCAAGTTGACGCAAGACGTTCGGCGACAGTTTCATTTCATTGACGCCCTCGAGCGGGCGAAACGCCGCGTCGAGCTGAAGAATGTCCGCCTGTCCGAAATCGCTGAGATATTTTGCACCCGCGCGCAGAGCGGTGTGAACTAGCGGAGAGGCTTGTTCCGCCTTGGCGCCGGTGAGTTCTACGCTCTCGATCGTGTCCCGTGTCAAATGCTCCACGCGGGCTGCGTCGGCGCCTGAGCCATACAGCGCCTTGATCAGACGCGTCGTCTGCTCACTTATCGGTTCGACGATGACGATTTCCGCTGGTGAAATACATAGCAACCTCGATTCGAGCTCGGCACGTTGCATCGTGTCCGTGAACTCTCCGTTTAACACGTCACCGGTGCTCGTCTCGATCGCCGCGAGTCCAATGCGCACCTTCGATCCACCCACGCGCTCCTCCGCGACGCACAGCAAGTGATTTGACAACCGCTCCTGCGTCCCTGATGGTCTCTCCCCGTCGTCTCCGGCGTCCGACAGCGCCGCGCCCGCATCTAAAGTCGCCTTGGTGTACAGCCCTACAAGCTGCCTCTCGAACAATCCACTCTTATTCCCACTCCCGCTCTCTCCGCTCGCCTTGAGCGCCGCCGTCTCCGTCTGTCGCACGACACCAACGCGAAAACCCGCCTTCACCAACCGCCGCACGTACACGTTCAATCGCACCACCGGCACGCTCGCCGTGAGATAGTTCCTCGACTGATACGCGAAGATCCCGAGCGTCTTGCTCGCATCTCGCGCGTCATCGCCGTAAAAATGAAACTTGTACCCGACTTCAATCATGAGCAGCGTGCCGGGATATTTCGCCTTGAACGCCTTCACAGACAGCTCTAACGGCGTCATCTTCTGCGCCGCCGACCCACTCTTACCCCCTTCTCCACCACCGTTCTCCTTATCCGGTTCCAAATCCCTCCGTCGTCGATCGAGCGAGAGTTTCGCCACAAATCGCGCGCGCGTCGACGGACTCGACGGTTTCAACCGCTCGAGCGTCGACTCCGCCTCCCTCGCTCCGCTACGTCCTGACGCGTTTCGTTCACACGCCGGTCTCACATCCGGCACGTCCACCGCGGCATCCTCTGTTGAATCAATGTCACCACCGTCGCGGCGTCTCTTCGCGTTCGGCGACACGGATTCGTCGTCGTCGTCGTCCCGCGCGCGTCTCGCAACTTTGAAATCATCTCTCGCCGTGTCGACAACATCTCTCTCCTTGACCTCAGTCGCGTGCGACGCGCGCGCGCTCGGCGTGCTCGCGAAGAAGCTCGAGATCGTGCGTTGCCCGGTCGCGAGCTGGGAAGGCGTTCGTGGGGGCATCTTTGACGGGCGCGTCGGACGATGAAGCATCGGATGTAGACGCGCGAGCGCGAAGGTAGGCGAGCGCGGAGGTGAGGTGACGATGCGCGTTGATACGTCGTGCGCAATGAGTGCGAATTACAAGCGTGCGGTGAACGAAGTGCGGTGAATGAACGTGTAATTTTACGGAACGGACGTCGAGCCGAGCGCGTCCGAGGATGGACCGGATGGCGCACCGCGAGAGGCAAGGCGCCACACGAGACCCCACGGAGTGAAGCGGTTGAGCCATTTGAGGTAGTCCCAAACGGTCACGGCGAGGGCGTAGACGAAGGCGGTAACGACGATGTATGCCGTCACAGTGAGGGCGCGGACGAGCAACCAGGGCTTGCGGATGAGGCGAGCCATATGTGTGCCGAAGATGAAGGCGAGCGCGCGTTTTTGCGCGCGATCCTGACGCTCGCGAATGCGACGCGCCTCGTCGGATTCAGGCCACACCGGGAGTGAATCAATCTGCGGCGTTGCTCGGCGCACGAAACGCCGTGCGGTCCATAGATCCTTGAGGTTGCGGCTGAGCATGCGGATACTCTTAGCGCGAAGAGCCGTGCCCTTGGGGCCGGACAGGTATTCAACAATCTTCTCCGTGTTCGCCGAATTGGCAACGCGTCGCAGAGCAACGCCCTCCGTCGAGCCCAAGAGACGACCGACGACCTCTTTGCTGCGTCGTGCCATCAGTGCTTGGCTGTCGCCGAAAGCACCCTCGGCGTTTTCGGCGTCGGCGGACTCCTTCGAATCATCTTCGTCCACAGTGTCCGTGAGCACGAGTTCTTCGATGCGATCCCATCGCAACTCGTCTGACTCGTTCAAGAACGTGTTTCTCATCGCAATTTGGCCTTCGGGCGTCGAAGGCGCCATGGCACGGCGAATCGCGTACGGAAGCGCCGCGGTATAAATGTTAAAATCCGGATCAGCCTTCTCCGCAATGCCCTCGAGCGTTAAAAACGTTCGGATGAGCAAGATGATGTACGGAGGAGTGAGGAACTTAAAATTGGCGCTGAGCTTCGCCAGACCTGTGGCGAGGGCACCAAAGCGACTCTGGCCACCCTCCTCGGTCGAAAGCGTGTCCGCAACGGCCTTTGTCATCTCCTCGAGCGTCGCTGGCTTGTACGTGTCGCTTCTGTCGTCTCGCTTCAAGAAGCCTTCCTTGGGAGTGAAACCAACCTCTTGGAAAACGAGCACGAGCCCTTCCCAGTTACCAGAGATCATGTGCTGAATTCCCTTCGCGAAGCCTTCCATGATGAACGGCTCGACCTCGCTCATTAGGCCAAAATCGAGGAAAACGAGCATGTCGTTGTCGTCCAACATCATGTTCCCTTCGTGAGGATCTGCGTGGACGAAGCCGGTGTAAATGAGCTGCGCGACGCACGCTTCGACCGCCATCTGTGCCATTATGAGTTTCTTTTCCGGAGGCAACGCCGCAATGTGCTGGCCGTTGATCCACTCGGTGGTGATAATCCGAGCCCGTCCGGGGGGGCCCGTATACTCTGGCAGCCAGTGAGGAGCTCGCACGAATCCAAGCCACTTATGTCTCTCGTTGAACTCGTCCATGTGGGCCGCCTCTTGCGTGTAGTCGAGCTCCTGCCACACCCCTTGACCGACCTCGTCAGCGATGACGTCCAGCTCGGTGGTAGTTCCCCACAGGCGCTTGAGCGTCGATAGGGAGAGCGACCAACACGTCCAGTCCAAGGCGACTTGTCGCACCACCTTCGGTCTCTGCACCTTGACCGCCACGTCTTGACCGTCCCATGTCTTCGCCTTGTACACCTGTCCCAGCGACGCCGCCGCGATCGGTTGCTCGCTGAACTTGGCGAAGAGCGGCTCGGCGTCTGGATTGCGCGCGCGGTACGGATGGTTCGGCGCGATGGGCCCGTCCCACTCAAGATCCTCAACTATCGTCTTCCACGCCAGAGCGTTCGGAAACGGCTCGTTACTCTGCTGCAACAACTTCAACTCGTCCGCGGCCTCCTCTCCGATCAAGTCCGGACGCTGAGAGAGCGTTTGTCCAATCTTCACGAAGACGGGTCCCAGGCGCGTCATCGCCTCGCGAAGTATCGCCCCTCTCGTGCGCTCCTCCGGGTCCCAGCTTTCCTGCGCCTTCCACTGACGAATCACCCTTCTTCCAACGCGAATGATGGTCGCCAGCCGTCCCGCCACCTGCAACGGCCGTCGCCTGAAGAACCTCAAGAGTTTTGGCTTGTCGAACTCCCCTCGCAAGTCGTCGTACGGGTCGCGCCTCCCCCGTCGCCTTCTCGCCTTCCCAGACCCACTCTTCCTCGCCCGATCACTCACCCGCACGATCACCGTCCCCCCGTGCACCATTTCCGCCAACGCGTCCGCATCCACCGTGGACTCTTTCGCGTCCACGCTCGACGTCGCCCGCAGCACCGCCAGCGCGTTCGCGACATCCGTCTCCGCCTCCGCCGCGTCCTCGTCCGCGATCGCCCACGCCCGCCCCACGCACACACGCGCGCCCATCACGCGCGCGTCCATCATCGCGCGCCCACGCGCGCGTCCATCGCCACGCGCACCGCCACGCGCACCCATCCACGCCGTCGTCGTCGTCGGCATCGATCGACGCATTCGCGTCCCCATCGATCGTCTCGCGCGCGTCGACGCTCGCGCGACGCCCCCGTCGAGGCGCGCGGACGTCGACGCGTGGTCCACCGCGCGCGGCGCCCGCGTGGACGCCATCGCGCGACGCTCTGGCGCGCGCGGCGACGGCATCGGCATCATCGTCGTCGTCGTCGCGTCCGAGACGCGGCGTCGACGCGTCCGAGAGGGCGATCGAGCGATTCGATCGAGATGGACGTCGCGGTGTGATGGTGGAAACCTGGCACCGGGACGCGAGGCGACGGGCGGCGACGCGGCGGTCAGAGCGCGGCGACGGCGTCGGCGCACACGCGCTCGAAGGCGTCGAAGTCGACGACGTCGTCGGAGCGGCGACGGGGGTCGGCGAAGTGGTCGGGACGGATCGCGAGGGCGTGCCGGGCGAGGAGACGGCGAGGGATCGGGCACCCGAGGACGCCGACGCCGAGGGAGAGCTCGTCGATGGAGAGGGAACCGGAGCCGTCGTCGTCGATGAGGTCGAATATGACGCGAAGAGGAGGGTTTTGACCGCCGTGTTGGGACTCGGCGGCGACGATTTGGCGGAGCGAGGCGACCCAGGCGGATCTCCAGACGGCGCGATGGGAACGGTCCGCGGAGGCGGCGTCGGGATCGATCCAAAAGCCGTGGAGCGTCGCGGCACGGATGAATGCGAGACGCGTGGCGAGACGTTTGAGCGTTGCTTCGCGCTCGGGTTTTTCCTCGGGGACGACGTGGACGTTGAGTTCTTTTCGGACGACGTCCCAGACGTCGCGACCAAAGTAATCAAACTCGAGCGTCGGCGTGAAGCTCTCCGCGGTGAGAACGCTCCAGAGCGTGTCGTCTTCAACTGGATCCCTCGCGAGCCTTCGACCGTTTATAGTGACGTTGCGTATGACTTGTACCTCCTTGAACTCGCGAACTGCGCTGGAAACTAATTGCTTAGCGACGCCCGCCTGCTCGTCGCAATTCAAGTCGAGCCGGTAGTGCACGGTGAACGCCTGTAAGGAATCACCGAGGACGTTTCGCCAGCCGAGTCGAGCTCCGAACACACACTGCTCGTAGCATGACATTCGATGCACGACAAAAGCGGGGATATTGGCGTGGTCGATGACGCGAGTGAAAAGGATGACTCCCGCCTCAACGCGGTCCGCACCGGGCGCAAACACGGCGCAGACACGCTCGTACTGCTTTGAGGTGATGTTCAAGTAAACTGAAGCCTCTCGAAGAGCGTGAAGAGCTACGATGGGCTCTTCGATAGACCAGTCATTCGCATCGGCCGTCAAGACGCACTTGTCTCGTAAGAAGGAGTGAAGCTGGTCGTTACTCATCGCCTCCGCTTTCTCCAGCACGCGAATGTTGCTCGTGTAATCGAACTCAAGCGTACCCACCGGAGGCATAGAACGCATGAGTGACTCGGGAACACCCGACGACAACAAGTCAGTGACTCTTGCTGTGTTTAGCCTCGCGTTACGCCACGTTCGACGACGGCCTTCGAAGGTCGCGCTATCCATCAACGTCGACGCTATGACTCTGTCAATGCCAGTGGCCAGATTTAGCACGTACCGTCCCGTTGGGTTCGTGGCGCGAAAGTGCATGTACGAACCGATCGATTCTTTTAGTTTGTCGAACTCAGTCTTCGATTTGAACATTCGCTCGGCATTTTCTGCGTCCAGTAATCGAGCATAACAAGCCGAGGCGGCTTGGAGACGATCGTCTCCCGCGAGTATAAACGTCTCCAAGAGCTTCGCCGCGTGCTCCGCGTGAAAATAATAACTTCTACAAAACATCTTCAGACGACATAAACGTTCAAAGTCCGAAAGCCGATTGTTCCTGAGCTGTCGGAGGATGTTGTCAAAGTCCTCCACTTCGATGACCTGTGGACGTCTCGCGACTCTCGCGGCGCTTGACGCAAATTGAATCTCTAGCACGCCGCCGTCGCTCGTGATGCTATCCAATCCATCGCGTCTAAAATTGTCTAAAACATCTGAGCTCACCAGTCCTTTCTTAACTCCGCCCGTCGATAAAAGTTTAGCGCTTTTCATGCTGCCTGGATTTTCTCTATCTTGATGCCAGAGTTGCGACGCGATTGCTCGATCACCGGTGTCGTCCAGATTTAGAGCGTGATGACCGTCCGGATTGTGCGGATTGAACGTGGCGACGCTTTTTTTTAAAGATGAGTCGCGCTTGCGCTTCAGCACGTCGACGAACGACGAGCCTTCGAGCGTGAGCGTTGTGAGATAATCGTTCTGCAACAACATCATCATCAAGTGTCGTCCCCCGTCCTCGCCGCATGCATTGTGATCGAGCTTCAACGTCGTGAGCGTGTCGTTCGTTCGCAATCCTTCGCTAATAACCATGCATGCATCGCAACCGAGTCGACATCTCGACAAATCGAGCTCGATGAGCGAGCGGTTTGTCCGAAGAGTGTCACCAATGAGCTTGCCTCCTTCATCTCCGATGCCGTTCCACGCCAACGATAGATACTCCAATCTCCCGATCCCTCTCAACCCACGCGCGATGTGCACGCACGCACGCGCACCGATTGAATTCCATGATAAGTCTAGTGATCTCAACGCGCCGCCCTTGGCCAGAGTGTCGCCGAGGATTCTCCCGCATGCGTCGGTGACGCGATTCTTTGACAAATTCAGACTTTCGAGCGCACAGTCGTCACCGATGAGCGTCGCGAATAGTGCCATAGCGCACGCGTCGTCCACGCCACACGAGGTAAAATTAAGCACTTTCACCCTTCGCACCGCGCTCGTCGATTCCACGGCGCTCGAGAGTCGGTTCTCGCTGAAGTTTAGCGCGCGTAAACGAGCCGAACGTCCGGCGGCTTCGCAGAGCGCCGCGACGCCGTCGTCATCAATCCTGTTCCCACTCACGTCCAAACTCTCCGTCACCGCGTTTTCCACGACACCGCGCGCGATAACGCGCGCGCCGATGGTTCCCAAATCCGCATATCGCGCGTCCGCGTCTCTCTTCTCCAACTGTCGCACGACGCGCGCGGAGACGCGCGCGCCCGTCTCCGCGCACGCCGCCGTGATGGCCCTCCCGCACGCCGTTCGCCCCATCACCCCCTCCCGCGGCGCCCGCCACTTGGGAATATCTCGCGTGAGATCGACGTCGTCATCCAGTTCCCGCGTCCACCCCACCGTCGCCGTCTTCGCGCACCGTCGTCGTCGTTCCACCAACCGTCTCTGTATCTCCTCGTACGCCGTCTCCACGCGCGACACTGCGTCGCCGTCCACCCCCTCACCCCGCGTCGCCATCGTCGTCGTCCCGTCCATCGTTTCGCGCGTCTCGATCCCGTCGTCGACGCCGTCGACGCGCGACGGCGTCCGCCGAGGCACCGCGGCGTCGCGCTAAAAAAAACTAGAAAAAAGACGATTCATCTTCACCACGACGTCACTCACGCGCGCCCTCGAGATGTCGTTCGCGCGCGCGTCGCCCCGTCGCGCGTCGACGGCGGTCGCGCGCCGCGGTGGAAGGGATAAAAAGACGTCGCGCGCGACCGCGCGGGCGTTCGATTACGACGATGCCTTCGCGCGCGGACGACGACGCGGTGGTGCGCCGCCGACATTCGTGAGCCCCATGGAGGGCCTCGGGGACGCGCGGTTTCGAATCGCGCTGCACGCCGACGGGCGAGGTGGGTTCACGGAGGCGTGTAAGGAGTTTATTCGCATCCCGGGGACGCTGCCGAGGGGGGCGGTGGCGGAGAAGATTGTGAAGAATTTGTGCGCGCGGTACGACGCGGATGAACTCGGGAACGTTCCGCTGGGGGCGCAGATAATGGGAAGTGACGCCGAGCTGTTGACGCTCGCGGCGAAGCACCTGGGAGAGGATAAAAATGCACCGAGGGTTGATTTGAACTGTGGGTGCCCGGCGAGCGTGGTGACCGGGAAAGGGGCGGGGAGTTCGCTGTTGAAGGATCCGAAATTCGTGTACGACGCGGTGCGCGCCGTCGCGCGAGGGGTCGAGGGCACGAACGCGATCGTGACGATGAAACTGCGAACCGGGTACGATGATTCGGGTTTGTTGAGGGAGAATTTATGCGCCGCGCGAGACGCTGGGGCGCGGTTTATCTCGCTGCATGCGCGAACGCGAGCGCAAGGGTACTCGGGACGGGCGAACTGGGACGACATCGCCTTCGCGAAGGAGGTTCTCGGGGACGACGTACCGATAATCGGTAACGGAGATGTTACGAGCCCACTGCGTTGTGCCGAGTTGTTACGAGTGAGCAACGCGGACGGGGTGGGGATCGGTCGCGGCGCGGTGCAGGATCCGTTGATTTTTCGTCGCATCGCGGCTACAGTGAAGCGAGACGTCAACGGCGTCTGGAGGGTCACCGAAGACGCTTTTGAGCGCGAATTCGAAGTTGACTTCGTGGTCACATTCTTACGAACGTTTGCCGAAGAAGTTTTCAAGACGGAGAATAAGCTGAACAGTAAGCGTGGGAGCGGCGTTCAGGAGCGCGAGCTTGAGGCGTTCAAGGTGGGCAAATTAAAATCCATCGTGAAGTACCTGTTTGCCGGTAACGAGGCGCTTAAACCCCACATCCAGGAGGTCATGCGCATCGATCCTCTCAAGATGAGCGCAGAAGATGCGCTGGATACGATCGAACGGCTCGTCGTTCGAGAGTGGGTCACGCCGCAACACGTCCTAGTCGATGCATTCTCGGCGCGAGCACAGTATCAGAAGTGATTCGGTAGTTCGCAGTCACGGCTTTTCGCGCTTCTTCTTGTCACCCATGCACGCTTGTTCGGTAGTGGGTGAACTATCCCTTTAGATATTTGTAGTATTAGGACCTAGACACTAAGAACTAGCTATTGTTGCGGTTGTCCGCTCTGCCTGATCGTGTGTCGTCGTCCGCTCGTGAAGGTGAGAAAAGCCCGGTGGAACTGTCCTCAAGTCTTGAACCGTGAAGTCATCGTAGAGCTTTGTGCGTCCACCCTTTTAATTCTCAGTTTCGACGCCCGTCTTGTCGCCGCTGATGGCGATCAAAGGTTGTCGCGCTCGTTCGCCTCGGAAGTAGACGTCGAGCCAGGAGAAGAAAAAGGTGCCAAACGTAGAGAAAACGATGGCGAGGATGAAAGTGAGAAGAGTGCGCTTGCCGCCGAAGGCTTGCAATCCACCGCCTTCGACGGTGGTGCCGTCCGGAAGCCAAAAGTTTCCGAACGGACCCCAAGCGCGGTGCACCGGTGCCGCAGCGGGCGTGCACCATTCGTTTGCGGCGACAGCGAGCGCCTTCGTGGAGTGTACGCCACCGTAGCAATCAGTCCAAGCGCCGTCCATATCGAGAACGGCGCCTTGGACGATGACAGCAATGGCACTAGATACGACACCCATAATGGCGCCCAGCTCCGTCGGTGCGACGATGAAGGAGTTCACGTCCTCGCGCATGAGACCGAGGTATAGCGCGGGAGCGCCAAGGGCGCACACCAAGTCGACCATCAAGAAGAGAGACAAAACGTCAATCTTGTCAATAGCGACGAAGATGGCGCCAACATTCAACGCAGCGCAGACTACTCGAATCACGTTGACAGGAACGCCAAAGTTCAAGACATCACGGTACAAGACCGAAGTCAAACCGTTTTGGATAGAATCCACCGAGCTCACGCAGAGCGACGTGGCAAAGATCAAGATGAGAACGTGCCAACCCTTGTTGAGGCTTTCGGCGAGGTAGAAGAAACCCAGGTACGCGTACTTGGTATATGACACTTCGTAGTCGTCGTAATATTTCGCGAGCGAAACCACGCCGAGAACACCGAAGAACCACATGACGAAGAAAATCAGACCGGCGCCAAGGGCGAGGCCTTTTCGAAGATCCGCCGTCGACTTGGCGGCGTAGACGCGCTGCCATTGACCGGCGTTGAAAAGCTCTGCGGAGAGAACGGCGATGATGAGGGTGATCATCACGACGAATCCTTCGTCCGTGGACTTGGATGCGCGCTCGTACTGTGCCTTGGTGACCCTGTTATCGGCGAGGAGGATAACGGTGAAGAGCAGCATGAAGCCGGTAATCATGACTCCTTGCAAACGGTCCGTGATCACGGACGCGGGCAAACCGGCGAGCATGGTGTACGTGAGCGTGATCACGCACACTGTGACGAGCACAGTCGTGCGTGCCTTTTCGTCCGTCGCACCATAATCATCGGAGAAGAGGGCGGAGACGTTGGCGATGGTCGTGAGTTCGGCGCAGAGCGAGATGAACATGTACATCACGCTGATGAACGCCGAGACGAGCTGCATCGATCGACCGTATCGCGAGAGCGCGAAGTCCGTCACGGAGAATCCATTCTTATCACCGACGAAAGCCTTAATCGTGGGCGCGATGAAGATCATGACGAGCGCCGGAGACGCGGACGCCACGGAGTACCCAAAGATACCCCACCACGACAATCGCGGCTTCGCCCCGACCTCCGTGGTGCCGTAGTACACCCAGGCACCCATACCACCCGCGAAGTACGACAGACCAACCTGCCGCCACGGCAGAGAGTTCTTCGCGCTGAGCCAGTGCACGCTCGGCGTCTTCACCGCCTCGACGAAATCCCTCGCGCGCATCCACCCTCCATCCTTACCTCTGAACGCGAACGTCAGCGCGACGACGAAGAAAAGCAGCGTCGTACAATCGATCGTCGCGATCGCCGTCCCGGTCGTGAGCGTCGGGTACGCCATGTTCCCACGCGTGTCTTTTCTTCGTTACCCTTAGGTTCTCCTTCTCCACGAGCGAACGTACGACGGCGCGCGGCGTATCCACCGCGTCTCTTCGGGCGATCCTTGCGCAAGTATTACCTCGATCAAGTTCCGACGATATTTCTCAGAACGCGCGGTCGCGCGCGTCCACTCGTTCGCCCGAGAGTGCGGCGTCGGCGCGAGGCGTCGAACGTCTTTTCGGGTCGTCGGTGGTGTAGGGTTTAGCATACGCCGCCCAGGTCGTCGGTGCGTGTCCCGTGATCGCGCTTTGGCTGCCACAGTACGTGCTCGGGTGTCCAGCGCGCAGGCCGCGACACCCATCGCGTCGCGAGTGCGCGTCGACCGCGGGCGCGCGCGCGCGAGCGCCCGGCGCGCGCGATGAGCGTGTTTTCCTCCGCCGACGCCCTCGAGCGGGCGCGTCGGAGCGCGCCCACGCGCGCGGGGGCGTCGTATCCGTTCGCGAATGCGAGCTCGACAAAATCATCGTCCGAGCGATCGAGCGGGAAAGCGAGCGCGAATGGATCGAGGACGGGTAAGGGCACGAGCGGGGGTGGGCGAAAGGGATCGGTGCGCGCGGCGTCGCGCGCTCGGGTGGAGGAGGTGCTCACGGGGGCGAGCGCGGCGGAGGCGGCGCTGAGAGAGGCGACGGAGCGGACGCGGAGGAAAGCGAGCGATGCGCGGACGGAGGAGAGCGAGCGAGAGCGGTTGAAGAGGTACGCGCGCGCGGAGTTGGAGGCGGAGGAGCGGGCAAAGGCGCTGGAGGAGGAGCGGAAGAGGTGCGAGGCGTTGACGGCGGAGAATGCGAGGTTGGCGCGAGAATTGGACGCGAACGGTGTGAGACGGTCGGGAGACGCGCGTGCGGGTGAGAACGACGACGAGGAGGTAGACGAGACGGTGAAGGAGTTGTTTGATCTCGTAGAGAGCGAACGACGGGCGCGGAGTGAGGTTGAGGAGAGATTGCGCGAGTACGAGCGACGCGCCGAGCGAGCGGAAGTCACGGCGACGGGAGACGCAGAGGCGCAGAGACGAATCGAAGAGGCCGAGTCCACGATGCGCGATCAAGAGAACAAGTTATCTCAAGCGGCGGAGATCATCGGCGAGCTTCGAGCGGCGTTGATGCACGCGATGGAGGCGGTGGCGCCGCCAGAGTCGACGACGACAGGATCTCAGTTAGGCGAGGACGCGAGAGAAGGTACTCCGCTGGAAAGAACGACCGCGGCCATACGGCGCTGGGAGGGGAAAGTGGAGAAAATGGTCGTCGAGACGGTGACCTCTGCGCTGGCGCGCGCGATGGATTCACCGGCGTTGCAGACAAACAGGCGAGAGGGCGAGAGAGTAGTCTCCAGCGTAACTGACGCAATATCTCACGAATTGAGCGCTATAATCGAGGGTGCAATGTCTGGAATCGTCGATGAAATGCAGTTTCAGTTCGGTCAGGACGAATTTGAGCACGCGCACGAGGACGATTACGGCGTTGACGGTCGCAACCGCTTGATCGGCTGGCTCGCAACTGAAAATAACCGCCGAGCTCATCTCGAGGAGCAGCTCACTAGCGTGCAGGACGAACTCGCGCGCTCCGAAGCTAATCGACAAGTCGCTACACAGCGCTGGCTTCAGGCGATGAGTCAGCTAGATGGGAGCATCATGGACGACGAGAGTGATTTGGGAGAGTTGCTGAGCCGACTCGACGACGTCTCCGACGACGGCATCTCCGTGCGAAGCCTCGACATGGGCGATCTCGGGAGTCCGCGTCGAAGGCGAATTATGATGAATCGTCGCGCGATGTCTGTCGTCGGCGACGCGCCGAAGCACATCAGTCGTGTTCGAAGCGGTGACGCAAATTCGGAGACGCACGAGTATGCCAATCTGCACGACGTTGCCCTCGGTCCAAACGCTCGTCTGCAGACGTTTCGCGAGGAAGAAGAAGAAGAGGACGCGGATGAAAGGATAGCTGATCTCGCTATCGAGGCCACACCAGGCGGACGCGTGTACTTTGCGTTGCGCTCGGTGATGCGTCGCGGCGTCATACCCGTGACCACGCGCGTGTGTGTCTTCGTGTACCACGTCGCTATGCAGATTCACGCACTGTGCGCGCGCTGTGCTGCAAATCCAAACTTCGAGCTTATCTGGCCCATGTGTCTCATCGTCGTCGCATTTTACTGGAAGATTGGCGCCCTGGACGATTGGACCGCATATGTCCGCTCCGAAGGTGCCATCGAACAGTTTGCTAGCACGGAAATTCGCGCCGCCGCCGCCGCCGCCGCCGCTCCCGACCAATCCCCGACACCACCACTCGTATCGACGTCCATTAGAATCATCGATTGAGCGTATGTGTGAATAAACAGACCCGACTCGATCGACGATACCTTCGCCTCACAAGCCGCCTCGCCATGCTTGCCCGCGTACTCACTCTCGTCGCCGTCTACGCCACCGTCGTTGCCGCCGACGCCACCGACGTGAGCTCTGTCACTGTCGACGTCTCCTCATCGTCACTCACCCGGGATGTGCTCGATCGCGCGCGGAACGTCAAGTCCTACGTCCAACGCGTGAGAAGACACATTCATCAGCGTCCGGAGCTCATGTGGGAAGAGGAGCACACGATGTCGTTCATCGAGCGCGAGCTGGACGCTTTAGGCATCACACACGAACGCATCACCGCCACCGGGGTGGTGGCAACGCTCGGTGCGGGTCGACGAAGCGTCGGATTACGAGCCGACGCGGACGCGCTTCCGCTGACAGAGGACACCGGGTTGGCGTACGCATCGAAGACGGAGGGGAAGATGCACGCGTGTGGACACGACGGACACGTCGCGATGTTGTTAGGGGCGGCACGGGTGTTGAAGGAGGTGCATGATGAGGACCCGGGGGCGTTTCCGGGCACGGTGCGGTTCATCTTTCAACCGGCGGAGGAGGGCGGCGCTGGGGCAAAGGAAATGTTAAAGCCCAGGGACGGATCCAGAGGGATGGTGGACTTCGATCCGCCGATCCAGAGCGTGTTCGGGTTGCATAATTGGCCGTATCCGGAGATGCCGAGCGGGACCGCGGGGACGAGGGGGGGGACGATCATGGCGGGCGCTGGGGAGTTTGTGATCGACATCGCCGGGAGGGGCGGACACGCCGCGGTGCCGCATAAGAACGTGGACGTTATCGTCGCGGGGAGCGCCATCGTTACGGCTCTTCAGACGCTCGTGAGTCGCTTGACCGATCCGCTGGATAGCGTTGTGGTGAGTGTGACGGTTTTCAACGCTGGAACGGCGAGTAACATCATGGCAGACAAGGCGACTCTACGCGGAACGCTGCGCGCACTTAATCCAAAGACGTTCGCATTGATGCAACAGAAGGTCGTCGATATGGCTGCCGCGACCGCCGTCGCGCACGGATGCGAAGCGTCGACATCTTTCGAGCCGGAGCAGTACGGAAAGAAGCGTGTCCCGTATCCTCCCACGGTGAACGACCCGCAAGCGGCGCAGCTCGCGATGAACGTCGCAGCGCAGCTGTTCGGAGCAGAGAACACGCGCGACGTCGTTCCGGTAATGCCCGCCGAAGACTTTTCGTTTTTCGGTCAAACATATCCATCCGTGATGATGTGGCTCGGTGCGTACAACGAGAGCGCCGGATCCACGCATCCTCTCCACAGTCCAAAGTACATTCTTGACGAGAACATTTTGACGAACGGAGTCGCTTTGCACGCGGCGTACGCGCTCTCCTTCCTGAAAAATGGCTTCGCATAGTACATGAAATGATTTACAATGTTTCAGACGCTAAGATCTTCGAACTGCAAGTTCACCCCAGACGTCGCTGCAGTTTCAAAGAACTCGTTAAAGTTGAACCGCGTGAGGAACGCGCGCAAGCTGGGAAGCTCGACGATGTACCCCGATCTCAGATTATCAAACAGTTCGAGACTATTTTTACCGAACTGTCGAGTGAGATAGTCCAGGCGCTCGTCCCAATCTGCGGGTAATCCTTGACCATCGGCGTAACGCACGCTCGCCTCGCAAAGCTCGCGCACGAGGCTGAAGATGTCCTCAAAAATAGTCATGATTGAGCCGACATCCAGGAACGAGTGCGCCATGACGACAGCAAGATACTGCCTGTGTGCCAGCGAGCACGTGTTGAAATCTTTCGTCTGGGCGATTTTTTCAAGCATTTTTTCAAATTCAGTCTCGATGACGTCGACTTGCATGTACGTGCGCCAATTTTCAATCAACTGTTGCATCAGGTGACGAAGCCGAAGTGTCTTTATCAAACCGCTTCGGCGTAATCGAACCCACGTCTCTTGTAAATCGAACTGCACTCGCTTCAGACGGAAGAGGTACTTGAAAATGGTCTTGTATCGCTCTTGCGTGTCCGCGGTGAAGAATATGCCCATCGGCCACGGGATCGAACACTCGAGGTCGATCCCATCCCACGCGTCATACTCTGGCACATGAACACGAGGAAGAAAGGCTGTCGACGGAGTCGTCGGCCGCTCTGCTGCGTTTTCCTCCGATCTCGTAAGCGCGGAGCTATACACCAGTTTGAAGGTGGAATAAATTGCTATGTTGCTCGGCATCGCCGTCACCGCCGATTGCGCGAACGGCGTCGCGAGCTCGCGCGTGGCGTTGCCAAGCTTTGGAGGCAGCGCCAACAGCTCCTTGGCTTCGTCAACAAATATCGAGTAAAAATCCCCTTTACCCAGAAAGTAAAACTCCGTCATGGCGGTGAGGTGCGCGACCAGTCCGGACCTATGTAGCAGCACCTCACCTAGACCCTCCGCGATCTCCGAGCGCATCGACTCCACGACGGCGTCGAATTCACGAGGATCGAAAGACTCCGCCGACGCCAACTTTCGGATGCGCGCCGTCGCCCGTGCGGCGTACGCTTCCGCATCGAAACTGAAGCTGGGCGTCCGCTGATTGATCGAACGCGTCAAGATGCGAACTCCTCGTCCAATGAACGACACCGCCTCCGCTGTGGAGAGCTCGATGCCGGGCGGTAACCGCTCCAGCGCCACGCGATGACTCTCGTGCCAAATTCCGCCGCCGTCGTCCTCCTTCGTCCTCAACCCCTCACAGCGGTCGATCGTCCGCACGAAGAACTCATCGCACGGATCGACGATCGTCCCGTGCGCGCACCACCCCAACAACTGCTGCATCATCACCTGCGTCGCTCGCCAATACAACCGCTCGCACGCCGCCCGCGTCGCCGGATGTCCCGCTCGCAGCCACGCGTCTCGCGCCCTTCTCAACACCTCCGCCCCCGACACCCCTCGCGCACCATCGAGCACCTCCCCGAACAACTCCATCAAGGCCGGTATCACCGCTCGTTCTTCGCTCAACTCGCTCTCGATCGAGCTCAGCGTCCCGGCGTCGCCTCTCCTCCGCAGCGCGTCTTGCTCGAGTTTTAAAATCTTCGCCTCGTACGCGTCCAATATCTCATCCACCCCGCTCGCCAGCGCCCGTCTGTACAGCGACCCGCTCTTGACGTCCAATCCATCGTGGTCGATCACGGATTCGCGCTCGCTTCGCGTCACTCGCTCGAGCGCGCCGTACGACGCACCGATGCGGATGAGATTATTCAACCGCTCGCGTTCGTGTGGTTTGATGAAAAAGTTTAATTCCTCGGCGACCGCGAGAGAGGGCGCGCGTTCGGGGGCGTCGGTCGCGATGAAGACGTCCCCGGGAACGCCCAGGAGGGCCAAGAGGAGATCGGGGATCATCGAGTGGATGGGTTGTGTGGGTTGACGAGCGATACGCGGCGGTTGTCGTTGTTGACCGGCCGCCGAGCGCGCCGAGGCGGACGGTGCGTGATGCTGCGTGATCGTAGATCTTACAAAGAACCTTACAAAGAGCGGCGGTACAGACTTTTATTGGTACGGTTCGAGGGTCTAAGTGATCATCGGGGGTTACCTGGGTCGACTCTTCGGCATGGCTCGATGCCCCAGATGTCCTTGGCGTACTCTCGAATGGTTCTATCGCTACTGAACTTGCCGGATCGTGCCGTGGATTTTATGCTCATTTTCGTCCATTTTGCTTCATCCTTGTACGTTTCGTCCACGAGACTCTGCGCTCGGCAGTAGTCCTCGAAATCGTTCGCGAGCAAGTAGTAATCGGCGCCTCCGTGCACGGCGTCGCACAGCGGCGCAAAGTAGTCGGCCCAGCCGAACGCACCTTCGCGAATAGATTCGACGATGGCGTCGAACTCCTGAGGTGTTTTGAATCTCGCGCGCTCAGCGCGCAAGATCGGAACGTCCGCGGCGCTAGATCCGAAGATAAACATGTTCTCCTTGCCTATCTCCTCCGCAATCTCAACATTGGATCCGTCCATCGTACCTATGATTAGGCAGCCGTTCATGGCAAACTTCATGTTGGACGTGCCGGAAGCCTCGGTGCCGGCCGTGGAAATGTGCTGCGATAACTCCGCCGCGGGCACGATCGTTTCGGCGCTGCTCACGTTGTAATCTGGAACGAACACAATCTTGAGCAAGTCGCCGACATCTGGGTCGTTGTTCACAACGTCTCCGACAGAGCACACAAGCTTGATGATGCGCTTGGCCATATCGTAGCCCGGTGCAGCTTTACCACCGATCAAAACGACGCGCGGCACGAAATCTTTGCGCTCCTCTAACGTCGCGGCCTTAATCTGCTTATACTTGTGGATAACGTAAAAGACGTTGAGCAACTGTCGCTTGTACTCGTGAATTCGCTTCACTTGAATGTCGAACAAAGCATTCGGGTTAACGACGGTCCCAGTCTTCTCCTCGATGTATTTCGCCAACTTTTTCTTATTGTTTGTCTTGATGGCGCGCCACTGCGCTTGAAACTCCGCGTTGTCTGCGTACTTTTCCAACTCATGGAGCGACTCAAGCTCGCGAATCCAGGCATCGCCTCCGAGTTTGCTTGAGATCAAATCACGAAGCTCTGGATTGCTAAACGCTAGCCAGCGACGCTGCGTGACGCCGTTCGTTTTATTTTGGAACTTTTCTGGCATGATGTTGTAGAAGTCCGCAAATATTCGACTCTTGAGAAGTTCACTGTGGATTTCAGCGACGCCATTCACGGTGTGACATGCCACGAGCGCAAGGTGCGCCATGCGCACGTACTTAGTGTCTGGGGCCTCTTCGATGATGCTCATGCGCCCAATGCGCGTATAATCTTCACCGATCGTCGCCGCGAGCTCTTGGATAAACCTCCAGTTGATGTCGTAAATGATCATCATGTGGCGCGGCAACACCTTCTCCATCAAGTCGACAGGCCACTTCTCTAAAGTTTCGGCGAGCACGGTGTGATTGGTGACGCTAAAAACCTTCGAGGTGATATCCCATGCCTTAGTCCAGCCAAGTTTGTGTTCGTCCAGGAAAAGCCGCATCAACTCGGGGATACCAAGCGAAGGATGCGTGTCGTTCAACTGAATCGCAACTTGGTCGGGAAACTGGTCAAACGTTTGGTGGTTTACCAGGTAACGGCGGATGATGTCCTGGAGCGTGGCAGACACCATGAAGTACTGTTGCTTCAGGCGAAGCTCCTTACCTTGGTACGTGCGGTCATCAGGGTAAAGCACCGATGAGATAGTTTCCGCACGTTGCTTGGATAAGATGGCTTGCACGTAGTCGCCCGTGTTGAACGACTCCAAATCAAATTCCTTTGACGGCTTAGCGCTCCAAAGTCTTAGGTTGATCGTCGTCGGCGTGTCCCATCCCGGAATGGGATTATCGTACGCCACCGCGCTGATTTCTTCGTTAGCGAGCCATTCGTACATCTTGACGCCGTCGATTTCGTATTCTCTGATGCCTCCGTAAAATTTCACTGGGTACGAAATATATGGACGTTCGATCTCCCACGGGTTTCCAAAGTTGAGCCAATAATCGGGGTGCTCGTGTTGGAAACCATCCGTGACTGTTTGACGGAACATGCCGTACTGGTAGCGAATCCCGTATCCCCACGCCGGAAGGTCCTGAGTGGCCATGGAATCCAGGAAGCATGACGCCAATCGACCGAGTCCGCCATTCCCAAGCGCGGCGTCGCGCTCCTTGTCGACGAGATTCTCCATGTCGTAGCCGAGTTGGTGCAGCGCCTCCGTAAACTGTGGCTTGATGTCCAAGTTGTAAAGGGAGTTCAAGAACGATCTACCCATCAAAAACTCCATGGAGAGGTAGTACACACGTTTAGGACTCTTGTCTCGAAAGTGTTGCTGTGTGTCGTTCCAGCTCTCAATCAGGCGATCGCGCACCGAGAAAGCGGCCGCGTTGTACGCCTCAAAGTCATCAAAGTGATACCTATTTCTCGCCATCGTGTACTCGACGTGATTCACGATGGACTCCTGAACGCTCATCACGTCGTTGCGCAGATATCGGTCCATGAGAGAGTAGAGCAAATCGTGTTGCCTTCGCTGCGCCGAACCCTGCGGCGCACTCGAGATCTCGGCGTCCGGTCTCGCCACATCGCTCACGTTCGAGAAGTGCGCTCGCAGGATCATCGACAGGCACACCTTGATGTTCTCCACGTCCTCCGCATCCGTCACCTTGCTCCCACTCGAGTCCGTCACGTGAAAGATATCGCTCACCAAATCATCCTTCGCGCTGTCCACGATCGCCTTCTCGATGTTCAACCCAAGATCTGCGAGCGCCGTGGTGATCACTCGCAGCGTCCCCGGCTTATTTGGCGCGTCGTTGATCCTGATCACCGTGTACGCGTCTTCGCTCGTCGTGTCGATCTCGATCGTCGCCTCCGCGCTCGCGCTCTTCGCGTCCGCCGCGCTTCGCGTCACGTGCAACCGCCTCGAAGACGTCGTCGGCGTGCTTCGCGTCCGCACGCGCGCTTGCGCGGCGCTCACGCCGCGCGTGGACGTCCGCGCGCGCGCGATCGCCAACGCCATCGATAATCGCCCGTCGTCGCAATTCCACCTCGCGCGCGTTGTTTTCAACCCCTCGCGCGCCACGAACGCGTCACGAACGCGCCGAAACGAGTGCCCGCGCCCGTCGCGTCGCGGTCTATCGCGCGCGCGCCTCGAGCGCGTCGCGAGCGCGTCGGCGGCGGCGGCGGTCGGTCGTACGGGACAGTTTCCGTGAAAATCGATTTTTTCATCGGTCACGACCCACGGAGAGTCTCTGCAGATGCATCCGTGACGGCTCGACGGCGTCGTGGCACTCGCGCGCGCGATGGCGACGCCGCCGAGGCCGCGCGAGAGCGCCTTGGACGCGCTGATGTCTCGCGCTCGGCGCGGCGTCGATGCGTCGTCGACGCGCGGGAAGAAACGACCGAGAGCGCGTGGGAACGCGGCGAGTGGGACGTCGACCGCGAGCGCGCTGGTGGAGTGTCCACTGTGTGGACGCTCGATCGCGCGCGCGATCGCGAACGCGCACGCGAGCGAATGCGAGGGTGAGGGTTCGTTGAAGGGATGCGGGCGGTTGGCGAGCTCGGAGAAGCGACGGGAGGTGGTTGATGATTTCAGAGGACGGAGAGCGCACACGGGCGCGCGAACGACGGGATGGGTGGCGAAGGATGATTTAGCGGGTGGGTGGATCGATAGGCGCGACGGAGGAGGAGCGACGGTGGGCAAATCAACGCCGGTAGACGCGGAAGGGACGAAGGACGCGTTCGCAGAGATGGCGCGCGCGATGAAACGCGTCGGCGCGGTTAAAATGTCGGGACATTTTTTACTCTTAGATTTCATCACGGAGGATGAGGAGCGTGCGATCGTGGAGTACCTCGATGCTGACACGAGTAGGCCTTGGAAGGATTCGAGCTTTAACGGCGCGCACGAGGGGAAGAAATACGGGGTGGAGCCGAACCTTTTGAAGCGGACGGTGGAGCCCACAAAGGTGCCCATTCCGAAGATTCTGAAACAGCTCGTGATCAAAAAATTCGCGTCGGCGCACGAAACGCTCCGACGTTTCGAACCGAACGAGTGCAATGCCATCAACTGTACGTTCTACTCGTAGTGTGGTTCGTGCGGTCGATCGAAACGCTCGCCACTCATCGACTGACCATCGCAAAAATGTTTGCACATGCGACAGATAGAAAAGATCTGGGCAGCGTCTTGACGCCACACTGCGACGACCGACAACTCTCGAGCGATATCTTAGTCAATCTCAGCCTGGTGTCGGACTGCACGATGACGTATATTCACGAGAAACACCCGGAGAGACGAGTCGAGGTCTACCTACCGCGCCGGTCGCTTCAAATCCAGTCGGGATCGACGCGATACGACTACATGCACTCCATAGCGAATGAAAACCTCCACGGCGATCGAAGGGTGAGTGTGACGTTTCGCGAGTCCGGCGCTTTCACCGCCAAAAAGAAGTAGCTCAAATCGTCACGAATAGACTGTGAAACATACGGATGCGGATTCCGTGTGCGCGCGCAACCACCTATTGCTGCACACGTTGCCGCGACGAACACCCGCGATGTCGTCCCGAGATCCCCGCGCGCTCGGCGACGCCCTTCGCACAGTCTTCCGTGCGGACGCCAAGGCTCTCGCGTCGCTCGAGCGCGATGCGAGCGCGTCCAAGAACGACGAACTCGTTCGAGCGCTAGCGATTTTGCTCGAGTGGTGTCACGACGACGTCGACACCGTGCTGGATCCCTTGCTCGAGCGCGCGTCTTCGTCAACGCGTTACGCACGCTTTGTCGCTCTGTTGACGCACAGAGCACCGAAGAGCGTTCGGGACGCTCTGCGACGGGCGCTCGGAGTGGGCGGGACGAAGGCGCTAGCGGCGTGCGCGTGCGCCCGAGCGTCGGCCGAGATGGAGCGAGGAACGGGTTCGCGGCGTCAGGACGACGGTGAATTGTTGGAACAGTTGCGGTTGATCGTATTGGCTGGTGAGGGACGGTCACCGACGCGATTGGCGAGCGCAGCGGTGGACGCGTTTGCTGCGATGAGCTCACTCGCAGCGGAGGACCGAGACGAAGACTTGGGAGGCTTCGAGGCGAGAGAAGACGTCGTAGGCGTCGTCACGTCGTGGGCACGTTTGGATGGTAAAAGTGAGCTGTTCATCGAGTGCTGCGACGGCGCGCGAGGGCGATTGAGGTCGCTCGCTCGCGACGGCGACGACTCTAGTCGCAGAGCGCGAGCCCGTTTGTTGAATCAAGCGTGGATCGATTGGGCGCCGGCGCTCGCGTCGATTCGAGGGAAGAAATGGGAAAGAGAGATGTTAGTGGCTCTGGAGTCGGCATTCGCGGCGACTTGCGAGATGTTGAACATGGATGAGCCAGGTGCGGGCGAGGGCGTCGCGCACGCGCTCATCACAGTCGGTTTGCACTTGGGACGAACTGGAATCGATCATGAAAATCGCGCGGTCTTTTCGGCCATGGTGAGCGAGGAAACAGCAAAGGCGCTAGATGAGATGTTGCACCAGTACACCGGGACCGCGATTCTTCCCGCGCTACGATGCTCGAACCCGCTCGCACAAACAGTTGCGTCAATTTTGATTCGAGTCATCCTTGCGCCAGAGCATATGGGTTGGACCGAGCAGACCGAAACTCTCTTGCGTGGGGTTCTTCCGCTCGTTGAGGAGGGTAGTGATATCATCTCTGTCGGTTTCGCGAGACTTGTTGCGGATTTAATCATACGGGATCCAAACGACGAGTCGCTGCTTCAAATTTTGAGAATCTGCGGAGGGAGTGCGACGAACGCAAAAATGAGCGCACTGCGAGTTCTGACCGAATTCTTACGCCGGGTCCAATCGACCATGCTGGACTCGACCGCCAATGCGATTGTTCGGTCGATGCTGCCGAGACTCGCGGACAAGAATTTGGAAGTGCGCAAAGCTGCGGCGGGAGCGTTCGCGCACATTGCGCCGCCAAAGGTGCTTCCAGCTCTTTTTGAGTTGTTAATCTCCGACGATGTCGAAGAGCGTTCAGCATCTGGCGACGCGATTCTCGCCACGATGCGAGAACAGAAGCCAACATCACGGGCTTTGAAAAGTTACTTGGACGCTCTGTCCGCCGCTTCTTCTTCTGACTCACCAGATGCAGAGAAGCGCGTCTCTCATGCAGTTAAACTACTGGCACGCTTCGCCGAGTCACTAAATGAGATCGAGTTGAGGGATGTGGCCGAGACGCTCACAACGGAGGTATTCTCTTCACCGTCTTCATCGAGCTTAAACCAAGCCGTCGTTGTGCTCGCTCCGTGGATTGGAAAGTCGACAGCGAGCGAACACGTCATTGAGGCATGTGCGCATCAACTTTCGTCGCAAAACGCGAATAAGGGTGCAGACGAAAACGAAATTTTCGATCGACTCGCGCCGCTTTTGCTTTTACGTGTGCTTCCGCTGGCGATTTGGGACCGTGAAAGTCGCGAGAGAACTGATATTCAAAAGTGCTTGAGATACCGAATGCTCAACGTGCAGGGCGAATTCGAAGACGTGCGGCGTGTGTGCTCCGAAATGTTCGCGAAAGTGCCACAACAAACTTTAGACAAGGAGCTCTTGAGCGAGCTTGAACGAGCTTACAGATCTGCGAGAACCGATTCTGACGATCTCGCGCGCGTCCGCACCTGCATGTTCTGCTGCAGTGCCGGTTTGGCTGTGCGCGGCAAATCCGCACTGTCGGAGAGCTTCGTGAATGTGCTCAGATCTGTGTGCGTCAACATCCTCGCGTGGAGCGCATGCGATACAGATGGTGACGATTTTTTCAAGGCGCAAATGGGTGCCATGGAGACGTTGGCGTCCATCATCGTCGCTGAAGTTGATTCGAGCGCACGAACTCAAAAGAACTGCATGAAGAAGACATCCAAGACACTTCTCGAGCCAGAGACTTCAATGATCTCATTTGAAGAAATCATCTCCGCAACGCCCTCAGGTCGCCCTCTCATCGTTGAACTAGACGATGACACGAAACGTGAACGTGTGCCTTGTGCGCACGAAACGCTCCACGGTGTGCTCCATCTGGCGTGTCTGACGGATCGAGATATTCCACCGTGGGTCGACGATGTGCCCAGGACCACGGGGATACGAGTTGCTCTAATTAACGTCATCATTACCGCCGCCAGACGTCCTCGACGTGGAGCAACACTTGTAGACGAGTGCTTCTCTCCGCTCGTCGCTTGCGCAGAACGGCGTGGTGATCCAAACATTCGTGAGGCGGCCCTCCAGGCGCTCATGATGCTTTTCCACTTGTCGCAGGACGACATTGACGAGTCTATCACAGTGGCGTTGACGCGAAGCATTACCAACGTTCTTCGCGATCACACTGCCGGCGATACCGCCCGAAAGGGTGCCGCAAAAGTCGCGACGGCATTACTAGCCGCCAGTGATCGGCACATCAGTGCGATGGAGCCATATCTCGAGTCGTTGCGTCAAAGTCTCACTGTAGCTGCTCGTGTCGCGGTGGACACCGAAGTCGCTTCGCTCGCGAACAAGCTCGCGATGTGCATGACGCAGACGGCAGAACGCTTGTAGGTTATAGATAGGATTTAGTCAGTAGGTAGATGCGTAGTACAAAAATTCGAGTTGAAAATCTCGCCGTGTAGCGGTGCTAACGCGTGAGTGTGCGTCTGCGCGCTGGTGCCTCGTATCGTCACATGTTGTCTTGATTTGAGCGCGCTTCATTCAATTTATTGAATCACGCGATCGATGACGTGCACGACGCCGTTATCCGCCAAGATGTCCGTTTGGACCACCGCAGCGCCACCGACGTACAGAATTCCCTCGACTAATCGAGCATCAATACTCCCATTGAGCGTGGTGACGGCGATCGGTCCGGCTGAGACGGCGGCGACAGCGTCCGTGGCGAGCAACGACCCCGCCACAATGTGCTTCCGTAACACGTCGCCGAGTCCGGGCGAAGCCAACAGTTCCTCCGCCGTGAGTCCGTTCTCGTTCAAGAAAGTCATGATGGCATCTGAAGTGGGCGCGAACACAGTCCACGGTCCCGCCGTCTCAAGTTGTTCGAGCAGATCGGGCGTCGCCGTCAGCGCGGCTACGAGCGTGGCGAAACGAGCGTCTTCGAGAGCAACGTCGACCACGGTACGCTCGATCATACCCGCGCTCGGTGCGTCCGCCATCTCCGGCGCAGGTGCCGGTGCGATCGTTTCCGGCATCGGATCCACCGGGATCGGTTCCACAACCTCAGCCGGCATACCGTTGATGTTTATCGGCTCCGCGGGAACAGGAACGCCTTCCTGCGCGAGCGCGCCGGAAAGCAGCGCCAACGCCGCGATCGCGCCGAGCGCGAATCGTCGCGCGAGCTTCGTGAAAGATCTTGATGATGATGTGCCGCGCATGTTTGTTCGTGCGAGCGCGTGCGTCGTGAAGTGACGTCGACGCGGCGTCACACGATAGCACCAAACTCCGAGAGAGACCGAGAGAACGTGCGCCACATAAAAAGGACGGTTTGGATTCCGAAAACCGTTTCGCGTTCAAAAATCAACCCACCGCGGGCGCTGGCGCCGGTCATCGGCGCGCGACGCGTCCGCGCCGATGCTCGCGCGCGGAAGACGCGCGCGCGGGACAGTGCTCGAGCTCGCGCGCGCGATGTCGTTGAAAAGGAGGTACGCGCGCGCGAGCGTGAGTCATTTCGAACGGCACGTCAGCGGGTTGAATTCGAGTTATAAAGACGAGCGAGACTACGGGGCGGCGACGCCGCCGCCGCGGACGTGGGGGGAGTCCGCCGTTCGGTTGGCGTCCGTCGTTCGGTTGTCCTGGAAGGAGGCGCTGGCGAGGCTGGGGATATGGCGGTTGGATCACGTGTTGGCCATCAGGATGCTGGCGGAGCGGGACATGAGCGCGACCATCGCGCGGGAGGTGCGCGCGCACGGATCAAGGGTGGAGCTTAAAGGAGGACAGTGGCGAGAGACTATGAAGGAGTTGAAGATGGCGCTTCGTTACTCGAAATCACTTCGCAGGGCGCCGGATTTGAAAACAGTGGCGAAACAGGGAGGGGTTGAGAAGGAGGCGATTCTGTTGAGCGACTTGGCGCCGGCGTTGATGCGGCCGGCGTACGTCTTATTTAAAGACATCGAGGCGGAACGGTTGATCTTGGTCGTTCGCGGAACGCATAGCGCAAAGGATATGATCACGAATTTAACAGGGACGTCCAGTCCGCATCACACGATGAGCGGAGGTGACGGGAAAGAGTTGAGAGTTGGGTATGCGCACAGCGGTTTTTTAACGATGGCGAGATATCTTGAGCGAGTGATCAAGGACGATCTTGTGAAAGCGCTGAAAAGTAATCCAGGTTACGACATGAAACTCGTCGGCCATTCTCTCGGTGGCGGTGTTGCAGTCCTGTTGACGGAGATGTTACTCCAAGACGAGCGATTTCAATCGGTTGGACTACACTGTTACACATTTGCATGCCCTTCGACGTTAAGTCGAGAGCTCGCAGAGTCGGTCAGGCCTTTCGTGACCACGTGCGTGAATAACTCCGATTTGGTAGCATTCGTTAGTTTTAGCAAGGTGAACGAGCTCCAGCGCGAGGTGGTCAGTACCGCGCTCGAGCAGAGGCTGTTAGATAAATGGAGACAGAATGCGGCGGCGATGTCACCGACGGACGTGTGCGGGCCGACGCCGTCGCGTTTCGCCGCGGCAGCGGCTGCGGTGGGAAAGCAGCACTACGGACCGGAAAAGTATCCAGGTTGGTTGCGAGCGCTCAGAGGTCTGAAAGATCGCCATAATAAGCTTGTCGAGTCGAGCTCTTTGTACAGGCAAAGTTTGTTGATTGGAAAGACGGTGAGTAAGACGAGTTCGAAATTGGTCAGTCTCTCTGGGGCATTCATTGCTGGGGTTGTGTCTCCGCGTCCGAGAAAGAAAGATGACGTGAATGAGATGAAGGTGGCGAGACCGGTTCAAGAGAATACGGCGTTTAAGAGGACGAATCAGCAAGTTGGAGATACGATTTCGCAGGCTGTGTTAGCGACGGACATTTGCAACGACGCACATCTCGCGCACGTGCACGCGGATGCGCCCGAGACGACGGCGGAGGAAAAGAATTTCGAAGAGTACATCAAAATAGCTCGCATCGCGCTCGATGAGGATTTTCAAAAGCCGCTCACCGCAGCGGACGTGGCGAAGATCTACAAAGCGGAGGCGAATGCCGCACAGGAGGTGCTTCGAATTCAGGCGGACATCTCCGTCGTCAAGGCGGCTGAGTTATTAGCGGACGAAGAGGCAACCATGCTCGCGGATTATTACGGTACCGATCTTCCTCAGCTCTACGCGGGCTCTCACACGAGCTCCGAGCGCGATCCCGTGGTCAAGCGCAGATGCGTATCCATGGAGGAATCGGCACGCCACAATTTGGAGGAAACAGACAAGCGAGACACCGAGAAGCTGTACCCGGCGGGACGCATCTTACACTTCGTCCTCAAATCAGGTCTCGACGAAGAGTCGACGAGAACTGCCGTGGGTCCGAGTGCTAAACCGGACGATCAAGGTCGATTCGATTCACGCCGTAGCCTCCACGCGCTGTTCGATGACGTCGATTTGGACGTCTACTCGCGCATCATTCTCTCGCGCACCATGATCGCCGACCACTTCCTCGCACAGTACGAGGACATCATCGACGGTTTCATCGCCGAAATCGATGCCTCCACCGACTAGTTTCGATCCCTGAAATCACCCACACTCAACGCTCGCCACCAGACCGCTCGCTTGACACCTGATTCCAGCACAGTGCGACGCCCCGCGCCCACGAAAACTCGCCCACGATGGGTTTCTTACGCGTCCTAAAGTCCTTTGGAAGCTCGAGCTCGCGCAGTGGGGTCATCGCCGACGCCGCGCGCGTGCAGGTGAGCGCGAAATCGCTCGGCGACGATTTTCCAAACGAAGCGAAATTCTTTGGTTTAGAAAACTTTGGCAACACGTGCTACTGTAACTCGGTCCTGCAGGCTTTGTACGCGTGCGAACCGTTTCGTCGCGCGCTGATCGAGCGCGCGATGTCGTCCGCGAACGGGACGTCGACAAGCGGGAGAGGCTGGATGAGCGGAAGGCGCGAGCCGGAGACGCTGCTCGACGCGCTCGGGGATTTGTTTCACGAGATATCGACGCAAGGGAAGATCACGGGGTGCGTGTCGCCGAAGGCTTTCATCGAACGGCTGCGGAAGGATAACGAGCTTTTCCGCGGGGCGATGCATCAGGACGCGCACGAGTTTTTTAACTTTTTGTTGAACGAGTGCTGCGAGAACTTGGAGAGCGAGCTGAAGAGGTCGGGGGACTGGGAGTCGGGTCGTAAGACGTGGATACACGATATATTCGAGGGAAAGCTTGCAAATCAAACGCGATGCATGTGGTGCGAGAACACGACGAACAGGGAGGAGTGTTTTCTGGACCTATCAGTGGACGTGGACCAGAACACATCCATCACGGCGTGCCTGAATAACTTTAGCGCCAAGGAACTGTTGGACAAGAACGACAAGTTCCAGTGCGACCGATGCGGTGGACTTCACGAAGCGCAGAAGAGATTGTTGATTCAGAGCGCTCCCAAGGTGCTGTCATTGCATTTGAAGCGGTTCAAGTACATCGAGGCGCTCGGCAGGCACGCAAAGCTCAATCATCGCGTCGTGTTCCCGTCAGAGCTCAAACTCCCAAACCTCAGTGACGACGCAGACGACCCAGACGTGCGCTATGTGCTCTTCTCTGTCGTTGTCCACATCGGTTCCGGCCCAAATCACGGGCACTACGTGTGCTTCGTCAAGAATAACCATCGTTGGTTTCTCTTCGACGATGACACCGTTGAGGTCGTCGACGAGGAGCAGTTACATCGCGTCTTCGGCTCCACCGTCGAGCGCGGTCCGATGGGGAGCGAGCACGGATACATGCTGTTCTTCGAACGCCAGAGCGACGACCAGACGGAGAAAATGTAATACCGAACGAATGCATCCGTGCTCCGTCAACCCTACAGCGCACAAGATTAATTCAGTCCGCAGATCTCGACGCGCCTCGACGAAGCGTGCGCTCGCTCGATGACACCTGTGGACGCCGAGGGTGATGGCGCGTCCCAGGACGCGATCGCGGTGCTCGTCGCGAGCGAGACGACAACGAACGACGCGAGCGTGAGAACGAGCGCGAGCTTGGGAAGGCGCGCAGAACAGAGCGTCGATGACGACGCGGAGGCGGACGAACCGGCGTGGATGGCGGACATAGACGCGCGAATGGCCACGGTTAGGGACATGGATGTGAAGGCGGTGAACGGGGAGTACATGGATAACGAGCGAAGCGCGACGCAGGGCCACGGCGCGGATGAGGGTGAGGACGCTCCGGGACAGTTCGAGGACATATTCGACGATCGAGGAGAGACGATCGTGGATTTGAACGAGTCGAGCATGAAGACGACGAGTATCATGGCGTTTTTGGAGACGTTCGCGCTCGGGCCCGAGAGTTTAAACGGTGGGCGAGCGACGCCGACGATGGGCGAGGTGCTGGAGCGCGTCAAGTCGAGGAGGCCAGACTCTCTGCCAGAGTGGACAATGACGGCAGCCGCGGCGGCAAGCGCGTATCAGTTCGCAATTAATAAGAAGCGATTGGCAGAGCAAGCCGCGTCTCGCCTTAAGGAAGCGAAGAGAAAACATGCCAAGCTGCAGGCTAAGGCGGACGCTTTGGATACACAACTGCACATGGTGCAGTACGGCAAGACGCCGGATGGAAAGCCCGTGAAACCGAATCAGATCAAGAACCTACCACACCAGACGCGTCCGCGTGGAAAGATGCCGCCGCCACCGTCCGAGCACACATCTGCGATATGGACGAAGGCGCTCAAAAAAGACGTGTGCCACGTCTGCGGTGAAGGTGAATCAGACTACTGGCACGACGATGACGAGATCGTGTTCTGCGACGGCTGCGACGTCCAGGTGCATATGTCGTGCTACGGCGTGATGGCACTTCCAGAGGGTCAATGGTTCTGCCGAGGTTGCAAGGAAGGCGTCACCAATGGACCGCTCGTGAGCTGCGGGACTCCCAGAGGCATTTGCGCTATGTGCCCGCATCCCGGAGGGGCGTTGGTGCGAGTGGAACCTCCGTCGAAAAGGGACGTGCCGTGGCTTTCTCCCGGTCATCACGCGCACCTAGCGTGCGCTTTATACTTGCCTGAGGTGAAGGTGACTCTCCAGAAGAAAGGACAATCTCCTGTGGTGGATATGACGCAGACAAAGTTGACGCGTATGAACTTGAAATGCTCTGTCTGCGACGAGCCCGGTGGATGCACGCAGTGCGCAATGCACAAATGTTTCCACGCGTTCCATCCATTGTGCGCGAGAGGAAACGGTCAAGTGGCGCTTAGGCAAGCGATTACGGGGCAACCGATGGCTTTCTGTGAAGGTCACAGCACTCCCGAGTTCGAGAAGCAGCGTTTCATCACTTGCGGGTACAGTGAAGATGGAACTACCGAGCACTCTAGACCATCCAGTGTTTTCTGGCGAGAGAACGCAAACACGAATGCCCCCGCAGAGTCACGAATGCCCCAGACGGTACTTGAACGGATCAAAGATGTGAAGAAGGCGATGAAGGAAGATGCTAATAAACCGAAAGAGGGCGCGACGGACAAAGTCTTCCAGCGTGCAACGAGTGCAGAGGCAAAGCGTATCTCGATCATGACATGCACGCGACACGTATTCCATAGCGGTCGCTCGTCGGATGACGACGAAACCTGGAAGTCTTTCTTCATGCAACTCCAACGAGAGTGCAGGCACCTCCATCCAGATGAGGCACTGAGGCTAAACGAGCTCAACGCAAGTCTCGGAGAGGCTGAGGTGAAGAATGCGCTCAACGTTTTGGCTGTAAATCATCCGAGGATTCCTCAAGGGGAAGAGATGTTCGCCGATCTTGCACCTTGGAAGTACATGAAGCAACACCAAATCGACGCGGTGCACTGGATGCAGAACCTGTTCTCACTGGGCTTGGGAGGGTACCTGGACTTTCAAAGTGGCTTAGGAAAACGCCTCACGGCACTCGCCTTTATCCAATGGACTCGTGATGGTTTAAGAGACGTCGGTCAGCATTTAATCCTGTGCCCGAGAGAAACAATTCATCTGTGGACTGCCGATCTTCATCGTTGGTGCACGACTCTTCGCAGCTTGAATCTTGTGAGTGAAACGGATGAACGTTCAGAGGAAAACGCCGGTAAGATTCGAGCGTTGGCGTTTGATTACATTATCGTGCCATACGATCGATTGCATGAATCCGAGGCACTCAAGTCCACGCCTTACAAAAGCGTGATTTGCGACGAGTTCCCGAGTGATGGTGGAAAATCGTTCAAGGCGTTGTTTACAGCAGTCGCAGAGAGGCGCATTCAAGCAGGATCAACCTTTTTCTTGGGCCAATCTGTCATCAATCAGGCCAAATGGTCTGAACACGGAGCAATCATTTTCCCCGATCTTTGCCGACATGGACGCGCTCCTGCGGCGTCGTCTGATAGTGTCGATGGGATACCGCAGTTATTGGCTGATTGGCTCCGCTTTACTGTGACCGAGCGCGTCGTGGAACCACCAATAAAGGCTGTGCCTTTGGCGAAATTTTCCACGATCAACGTGAAGCACCCTACTGATGATCTCATGCACATCTTCAGGGCGATGCGAAGACACGGACAAAAAGTACTAGTGATTGGAAACAGCGCAGAATCATTGGCCGCGGTAGAGGAGGGGATGAGATCGGCAAAGCTTGAGTATGCCCGCCTGGATGAAAGCGAACAGCCGCTAGGCGCCGCCTTGTACGCAGTCGCTCGCTTCAGCACAATGGCAGAGAACAACATATCGTTTTTACTCTGTGAGGAGAAGAATGTGAGACGTCAGCAAGGTCGTCTTTCGAACGCGAGTACGGTCTTATTTCTGGACGGTGGTTTTTCGGACGTAATCGAAGCCTCTGGCGCTCCAAGGGAGGATCGATTATGGAACGTGGCGAATCGCATTTGGGGGCTCGAGCCGGTGAAGGGCACGACTAACTTCGTGAAAATCGTGGATCACAATGGAAAGGATATCGTTTGGATGCGTGGTTCGTGCTCTAAAGAAATTCCGGAGGATACGCCGGCTTACCTGACACTTACCATCGAAAAAATCCCGATCAATGGCAACGTCCCGCCCGAGTTCACCTCCAAGGATGTGGCAAACTGGGACGCCGCTGTTGAGAGAAAGCGCGTCAGAGACGAGACGGAAGAGCCCACGTGGTGGACCCTGCACGAACATACGTGCGTGTACTGCAACGGCGCCCCTGGACAGTGCAAGAACATTCCTCCGGCGTTTTTGCCTCCAGAAAAGGCCGGTATGAAGATTCGCTGCGTGTCATGCCCGCGCATCACCTCGATGGGTTGCGCCTATCTTCGCAGCGTGCCGAAGTCGTGGAAGTGCCCCCAGCACGGGTGCGCGGCCTGCGCGAAGCAAGCGGCACCGGGTCACATCACTTTTAGATGCGTCTCTTGCCACCGCGCCTTTTGTGATTCGTGCTCGTCGGGTGCCTCTTTCGACGCCATCTCCTACCACCCGGTTTGGAGTCCGAGCGGCTTCACGTTGCCATCGTATTACGAGTATGTTCGTTGCGCAATTTGCGTGGACAGTCTCCTGGCGGATTCAACGAGCTCGCGCCGAGCGAAACAATAACAATTAATAGAGTTGTCATGTCATATTACTAGATGTAGCTAACGAACACTCCGAGGCGACCGATGCGTAGCGGCGGCAATGCGTTTCGGCGTCGACAACCTGTCGAACACGCTCGATCGTCTCGGCGACGACACGTTCTCGCTCAGGGGGGTCAAAGGCGCCCGAGCCGGTGAGGACGCGGCGTCGTGTTTGCTAGAAAATTTGGCGTAGGTGTAGGGAGATTCGTACGTCCTGGGCAATTTTTCATCCCTCAAACGCAGTGCCTCGTTCTCGCGCTGCAGCGCTTCGCACCGCACCTCGCTCGCCTTCAGCTCCTTCTGCAAGCGCATCAACTCATCCCTATAGGCGTCCGCGATGACCTGCGCCTGCTTGCTCAGCTCCCGACGTAACCTCCCTATCTCACGTTCGCGACGTTCCGCCCGCTCGTCCTCGCCGCCAACCGTCTCCGTCTTCGCCGCCGCGCGCTCGGCGCTCACCCTCCGACTCGCCTCCAGCGCCCCCTCCAGCTCGTCCGCCCGCTCACTTCGCTCCCTCCACGCCAGCGTCAACTTCTCATTCGCTCGTTCCAACGCCTCGCATCGCGCGCTCATCGTCTCCGCGCTCGCCGTCCCGCCCGCGCCCCTCGCGCGTTCCTCCAAACGTTCCCCCAACGCTTTCGCTCTCGCCTCCGCCCGTCCGCACCGCACCGCGAGCTCGGAATTCGATCGCTCGAGTTCGACGACGCGCACCGCGCACTCTCGAGCGCGCGCGGAGGCGTTCGCGAGCGCGCGCTCGAGCGATTCTTCCGTCGCGCGCGAGCTCGAGTCTTCAACGGCATCGTCATTGACGTTTCGCGTCGTTCGCGCGCGCGCTCGAGCGATCTCGCGCGAACGCGGAGCGGGAAGAGCGAGAAGTGACATCGACCGCGGTCACCGCACGCGCGTGGACGCGAAGGGTCTTGGCGGCGCGCGATGGAGTGCCGATGAGCGCGTGGAAGTTGAATCGAATCGTTTGTTACAGTGAAATGTCAAGGGTGGACGCGCGGGTACTACGGGCGGTCCCATGAATCGTCTTCGGAGCCGGAGTCGTTGGAATGGTACGGCGCGGTGATCGGTGATGGTGATGGTGCGTCCTCGGAGTCGTCCTTCAGGTCGTCGTCGGACGCTTCGGAGGTCGGGACGAAGTCGGCGCTCGCGAAGCGCTCCGCGCCGACGGAACCGGTGACCTCGCGAAGACACAACCATCCGAAACCCGTGGGATCACGCTCGAAGTCCTCTCGGTCTTCGAACGAGTCGATGAGTTTTTGAGACGTGCCCCAGTCTTCGCCGTACTCGTGCTCGATGAACCGGCGGAGCAAACCAAGGGCGTCGATAGTGAACATTTTTCTAGCCTTCGTCGAGCGCCACTTGACGTCGCCGCTCGAATCGAAGATTTGAGGATACGAGCGACGAATAAACCTGATGACGGGAGCGCCGGCGATGATGTCCCGACTTTTGTCATGGTTGTAATTGAAGGCTCGCATGGCGGCGCAATAGAACGACCAGTACGCTCGCTGATCGAAACCGAGTCGAAGCAAAACTTGGCGGTCACTCGCGAAACTTGGCGACAGCTCGGGTTCAAACCCCGGAGAAAGTATAATATCCGGTACTGTCCCTTGAGCGCTGGCGCTCCACTTTCCCAATACGCATTCTGTGCGCGCGCTAGACGGAAGATAACCGTTCGGAGTGCTTCGCGCGCGCTTCAAAATTTCCAGCCACGCCTCGACGCCTGATTTTTGCCCCATTCCAGCAGCACCGACGACGATGAGGTGTCTCTTCGCTCGAGTGATCGCGACGTTCAGTCGCTCAGAAGTGGTGAATGATGACATCGGGGCACCACATAGCGTGAATACTATGACTTCTTTCTCTTGACCCTGAAACGCGTCCACAGTGCTCACCTGGACGTCCGACGGAGCGAAAGATTCGTCGTCTTCATCGCCTTCCGCGACATAAGGCTCATCGGACTTCAAGCATTCTTTAAGTTTCATCGTCACGAACGACGCTTGCGCGGCGTAAAAAGCGATGACACCAATCTTCTCTGCAGAAATACCGTTGTCCAACAGACGATGCAAGATGGCGCTCACGCGGTTAGCCTCCGCGACATTCAGTTTGCTCTGGCCCTCCTTTTCGTCGACGCCGTTGGTGTCCCACCAGACAATCGGAGGTAACACACCACCGGTAGATATATCAATCAAGCTCGCTCTATCCATTGCATCTACACCATCGAGCAGCATTCCGTCGTAGTAACACTTGTTCGGAATGGCGGAGATCATCGGATGGAGTCTGTACTGAGTGCGCAGCGTGACCTTGGGATAGCCGGCTTTGCTCAGACGCGAGAACAACGTCATTTGAAGTGGATTGCGTGTCACCTGAGAAGACGCGTTCTCGATTTCTTCTCGAACAGTTTCGAGCACCGGGTATAGTTGATGAGGGTCACCTACAGCAACGACGGATTTGCATCGCGTGCGTATCACCGGAAGTAAACTACTCGGCTCGGTCATTTGTGAGCACTCGTCGAGGACAACGACGTCAAACTTCTTGTCGGTCAAATCTTTGTGCGTGGACGAGTAAGTCGTCACTCCGACGACAAGGCACTTCTTAAGTAACGCTTTCCGTGCGGCGACTTTCCCCACCGTGGATAGGGCTTCGATTTCTTGCTGCAGAATAACCTTTGCTCGTGCAGACGTGGCCTCAGCAAGCATGGCTTGAAGCTCTTTCACTTGCGATGCACCGTGAACGCTCGTCTTCGCGTGGACCGAGTGCGGCAGGATTGTGGGGTCGATCTTCCGAACGCTACCGACACGAACGAAGTCCGTGAACCCTAGCTCTAGAAGTTTTTGCAAAACTCGATCGACGGCGACGTTCGTATGCGCGCTGATCATTATGCGCCCATTCGAAGCTTTCAACAGCTCAGCGGCCTTGATGACGAACGCGGCGATCGTGTGCGTCTTGCCACTTCCGAACGGCCCGTGAACGAGACGGACGGGTAGATTCGAAATACCCGTGGCGCTCGCGAGTGCGCCCGAAATAGCTCGAGCTTGGTCGTCGTTGAGTTTGAATCGACGCTGCAATGCAGAGACTCCGATGTCCCCGTCCTTCAAGTAAAGCTCCTGTTCTTCCTCGAGTTCGACCCGTGGGGGGATGCCAAGCACCCAATCGATCAACGGCGACGGCTCATTTGTCCCGAGAGCCAATATATTGGCGATCTCTTCAGCCTCTGAGAAGGCGTTCAGCGACGAGTGTATGGCGAACAGTTTCATCGTGCTGTTGTCGCCGAGCGCTGGCGGTCGCGGACTCAACAGGCGCACCTCCGTTTGCCCGTTCTGATTTAACCCATGCCACTCGTTCTGCACAACACCCACCCACGGCGCTCGATACCGATCGCCCACTGTTCGCAACGGCTCGACGTTGAAAGACGCCTCTGTGCTGACGACCCACAAATCGCCCTTGGCGTAAATCTTTGGACCTTTGATAGCTTTGATATCGTGGACTGTCATTCTGATGAACGTCTTCTCCTTGCCCTCCTCCTTGTCGAACCACTTCCTAGAAGTGATCTCACACTGGGTGAAATAACGCAATTTGTACCTTTGCCACATGACCTTTTGCAGGATCTCCGGTTGTTGCAGTTCTCGCTTTGACTGCGTCGCGTCGTCGCGTAATTTTTTCATCACGCCAGCGACGTCGCGCAGACGCAGGGTTAAATTCTCACACATCGCCGTCACGAAGTGCGACTGATAATCGCGAATGGTGGTAAATTGGTGATTTTTACTGAATGTCAAACCGACGTAATCGGGCGGCGGAAATTTGACGCACACCTCTGTCGAGAGCGCCGCAGACGGCACGCGCGCGCGCCGCCTCTCCGGTGCCTTCTTCTCGCGAACCACGGGCGCACTCGCCGTCACCGCCTTGGCCCCGGTCCGAACCCCGACCGTTTTCTTCGACGGACCCGCCTCCACGGCTGCGCGTTGGCGCTCGAACTGATCCAACGCGACGTCTAAATCCCCGTCGTGCGCCAACAACAACTTGGCCACTTCGCTCATCGGTTCATTCTCCCTCTCATCACCCTCCCTCGTCCCCACCGCGTCACCCATCCCTTCCACGCGCGTCACACCACCCACCACCATACCCTCCACCGTGCCCGTCGTCCTTTTCAACATCGGCGGCACGAACTTTTTCCGAAACGCTCGATTGGTGAACCGGTGCGTCTTCGCCCGCGCCGCCGCGCCGTCCCCTCCACCCCCATCCGTCGTCCGCGCACCGACCGCGTTTCCACCGACGACGTCATCGACGTAGACCTCGTGTCGCGCCCCCAAGCGCACGGTGCGCCCGATCTCGAACGCCTCGCGCGCGCCATCGACGCGCGCCCGCGTCACGCGCCGTCCGCGCCCATCCTCGCCCTGCGCATCCGTCGTCGTCTCGTACAGCGTCGCGACGTCCCCGCGCACGACGCACGCGCCGTCCATCCGTCGCGGGCGTTTCTTCCCCACGTCGTCGGTCCACGTCACGCGGTACACCACGTCACGGTCCATCGCTCGGACGGGGGAGACGGGAAATGATTTGAAAACACATCGCGCGACGTCTTGAGGTCACATGAAGGACGATTCGTATTCCGAGGCCCGCGCGAGAGTCCATCGCGCCGCGCGACGACGGCATGGACGCCGCGAGCGAGCAGTGGGCGTTCGACGCGATCGCGGTCGTCACCGTGGGAGGGATCATGCCGCTGGCGGTGATGTTGCTGCAGAGTCGACGGGCGAGTAAGCGCGCGTGCGCGACGGCGCTGATGCTGTGCGCGGTGCTCTTCGTCGGTGCGTTCGAACACGCGCGGGCGTCGAGACCGGAGATGCGTCGGGCGCGAGGGTTTAAAAATGTCATGCGCGCCGCGCGCCGGGCGCGCGCGGGCGGGGGTGGATCGTGGACGACGGCGTCGTCGCGCGCGGAGACGCGTCCCGGAGGCGCGCGCGCGGAGACGCCCGCGCGCGTCTTCGACGCCGACGTCGTCGTCGTCCCGGACGGGATCACCACCCCGCCGTCGACGCGAGTGTAATCACGACGACGACGACGACGACGACGACGACGACGGGTTTCGCGCTCGCGACGACGACGACGACGGAGACGACGACGACGCGCCGCGCCGCGCCGCGTCCATCGTCCACCGTGACGCCACCACTCGCTCGGACTGTAAACAAAACAACTCCGGCACTGCCCCCTCGAGTGCCCTGATTCCTCGACGTCCAACCCCCGACGGGCGCTCGCGACATGCCCGGCGCGCGCTCGAGACCGCGGGTGGTGGATCAGAGACGGTGCGTGCGATGACGAGGAGCGAGGGCGCGGTGACGCCGATCGGTGCGAGGGCGACGACGAGGGATGGATGAAGGATCGTCGATCGCGAGCGAGGGATTGGGGAAAGATCGAGGGACTGACGACGCGATGGGACGCCGGCTCGACGCGTGGGCGCAGGAAGATTCTGCAGCGGACGAAATCGTTGCTGCGACATCTTGGTTTGGGACACATGCGAAATATGGGGGCGGATTTGCCGTACAGGCGAAGGGTGGAATTCATGTTGGTGACGATATTCGGAGAGACGTTCGATAAGGAGAGTTACTGGTACGGTCGGCCGAATCCGGACATGTTCTTCGCGGCGCTGATGAACATGGCGGGAGCGCGAGAGCGGGTGACCCCGGTCGATGGGTCGCAGATATTTAAGCTGAAGCAAGGGACGACGTCGTACGAGGTGAATCGGCCAAAGTTGAAGGCGCTGGGGGTGCAGGAACGGACGCTCCGGGAGATGTTCGCGCGAACGCCGGCGGCGGACGAGCGGTACCAGGTACAACCGGTGGCGTGTTTGGTGGTTCCCCCGCCCGACGTCACGGATGCGCTCGATTACGAGCCGTATCCGGAGGAACTTGACGAGGAAGAGGTTGAGGAGGATGCGGCAAACCTCGACGACATGGCTTCCATGGTGCTCACGTCTCTTTCCGGAGGCGTCACCGCGTACGTCAAGGAGGAATCCATGGCAGAAAATGGATCGATGAGTGCGAAGAAGAGAGCGTCTGGGAAACGTCCCGCGAAGCGTTTGCGCACAGAGACGGCGGGGAAGGAGAACGCGTCTTTGGACAAATCTTCCGAGGCAAAACTTCAGAGAAACAAGGGCAAGGAGCTGTTAGAGGACAACGAGGATGAGATGGACGATGCGGAGCCCGCAGAGGCGCTCGAGGACGATGGAGGCGACGTGCACACGGCGGCCATGCAAGATAACATGCGACGCTGCATGCGGCTCGTACCTCGGGACAAATCGTATGCACCTCAGCCGATAGCAAACTTCGATTTTGGATGGGATCCTGAGATGAAAGAAAAGCAAATCACCGATGAATTTCTTTCAGAACACTACGAGCTCGATTTTGTGCAAGCGGAGAGCACCAATGGACTCGCCTGCGCAGGCGAGGAAATCCCGTGGGATCCCGAGATGGCCAATTTCGTGATTAGAGCCTTCGCACCGGTTAATTACGACCGCGCGATGGAGCTCGTTGCGTTCGACGCCTCGATTGCACAACTGCGTGGAGATCTAGTTGGATGGCTTGGCGACAGTGCCCATGCGGGCGCGGCTTTAGAGCAGCTGGAAAAGCTGCGGCAAATTGCGACTGTCGGAATCGAAGCCCGAACTCGATAACAAGTACACCTGTAATCGCCGCACTTCTGTAACAACACGCTACACTTGTACTTGTACACTAAACTACTACCGGTCCCGGTATCTTCTGCTAAGCTATTCGACGAGGAAATCCACTGCGAGCGAGATGTGGTCGCTTGGATATCGCACCGAAGGTAACCGCCCGTGACGCAACACATCCTCGACGTTTGGACATTTCAGCACCGCCGTTGGCTCAAAACCATTTGCAGTATGCCAGACATAATCATTCGTTCCACAGAACTTTCCGTGACACGTCGTAAACTCGGGCTCTTGACCATCAACGGTGGCATACGCGCTCCGAAGCTCTCCCTCAAGCGCATGATGCAAGACCGCCCCACCGGCCGTCAAGCGCATTAGATTTCTAACTTCTTCGACGTCTAATCCATTTTCCGACGTCGCCGTCAACTTTAACTCGACGCCCGTCCTACTCGGGAAAGGCACGCTTTTGTCTCCAAATGCAAGCGCGAAACCATTCGCGTCCCATCCCCGGCGGAACGCCTGCATGGCGAGCGTCTCCGTCTCCGACGCGCATTCCGGTACGTCTACGCCGTCATCGTCGCTATCACCATCATTCGCCATCACATCGACGAGCGATCCCGACAATTCACGCCGATTCAGCTGCGCCAAATTGATGCGTCCGGTGGAGAAAAACTCATACAAGGCGCTCCTCGGCGAGAAGTTGTAGTCGCCGCAAATCACGCAGTGCGCCACCATTCCACGTTCGCTTACGCTCCTTCGCAATCTCCCTACCGTATCCAACAATACCCGAGCCTGCCCTACCTTAACATCGCCGCGCTTCGGATTAAATAAGAGGTGCGCGCTGACGCAAATCACTCGAAAGTCATCACGCACTCGATGCCTCAGCACGACCGCTACGGCAACGTTATCTCCCAATCCTCGCTCTAACTCATCAAAGTAAATTGTTTCCGCTGACTCCGCCTCAAACTTACGCGCGTTGTACAATACCACGCACCCGTCTGCCTTTCCCGCCCGCGTCGCCATGGCTGCCGCCTGCGTCCCGCTCCGTCTGAGTCGCTCGCTCACCACCTCTAACGCCTCTTTCTCCACCTCTTGCGCGCACACGACGTCAGCGTTCAAGGACTCGAGCTCGCACGCGACCGCGCGCGCACGCTTAAACGACTCTAGGCGATGCGACCCGACTCTGTAGAGCTCTCTCTTGTGCTTTTCAAGCGAACTCGGCGCGAGCAAGTTGTACGAGACGACGCGTACGTCGACCGCGCGCGCGTCGTCGGGGGTCTTCCGAGCGCGAGCGCGAGCCCAACGACGGGCGCGAACGCCCAAGCGGACGTTTCGCGCCGTGTCGTCTTCGTCGGGCGGCATGTGAGGAGAGTAAAAAGGCGCGGCGGAGAAGTGAATGTGGCGCTCGCGGCGACGGAGCGAGAACCGACCCACGAGTGGGCGGGAAGACTCGCAACGTGCGTGCGAATCGCGAGTTAATGTTGCAAAGAGACTGCCATCGCTGTGATGGACTTTGCACAGGGATGGTAATTATCTTTGCGTGAGGGTGAGTCGCGAGTCGAAGTGCCAAAAACAGTTTTGTATCTCTGAAAGATTCGATTACGTTGAACAAGTCTATTCGTCCTTCTCCGGACCCTTCGCACCGCGTTGGCGACCAGTACGGCGGGCCGCAATGAGACCGACCTTCGCACCAGTCGGGCGGTCGCGACGAATGGTCGACGCGTGACCGATGTGCTGGTGGTTACCACCCCCGTGAGGGTGCTCAACCGGGTTCATCGCAACACCACGAACCTTCGGCCAGCTGTTGCGCTTGACCTTGTACTTATGGTACGCCGTACCAGCCTTAAGCATCGGCTTGTCAAGACGACCACCACCCGCAACTTGACCGATCGTCGCACGGCAACCGGACGGAATCGTCTTCTTCGAGCCGGATGGAAGCTTGATGCGGGAGAAACCCGTGTCGAGGTTGTGGGAGATCAAGATGCAGTACTCACCAGACGCCTTGGCCAAGGTACCGCGGTCGCCAAGCTTCGACTCGACGTTGCAGATGATCGTACCCTCCGGCATAGAGCTGAGCGGCAAGATGTTACCGATGGACAACGACGCCTTCTTACCCGCGTACACGAACTGACCAGTGTACGTTCCCTCCGCCGCGATGAAGGTCTCCTTTTGGAGGCCGTATCGCTTAGTGTGACGGAAAGTCATCTGCGCAGTAGTAAAACGTAATCATACTCGGTCAGTCTTCGCTCTCAAAACTCCGTATATATCCACGCGCGACCTCGCGCAAAGCATGTAAGTCTCAAGACTCTCAGTGCCCAGATACCAGGACCAAAGCCCTACGGACGCTCGATCGAACATCGCCTTTCGCGTCTCACACGTCGCGCTCGACCGCTTACGCACCTTGGCCAGCGGCGCACCGCGTCCCGGATCGTGGATAATGTCCGTCACCACGCCCTTGACGTAGCCGTGGCGCTCGGAGAAATCCTGCGTCGTCGAACGATCGCCGTCCGCGGTCAGTCACTAGGTCTTTCACTCGCAAGGCTTCGGTCGTCACCGCTGACGCGCGCGCATCGACGCTCGTTCGCACACGCGATGCGGAGACCGACGCGTGATATTCCATTCGACGATTCGCACGCGTCTTCGCCCGCTCTCGAGCGCCGACGCGCCCGTTATCGCTCGCACGAAGCCCTCTCTCCGCCTCGATCGATTCGCGCCTAGGGCGCGCTCGTCTCGCGCGAATTCAACAACGCACCTGTTGGCGATGCTTCGCCGCGCCCTTACGGGTGTGCGTGTGCGAGCGGAAGACGCTCCCCTTGCCCTTACGGCACGATCGGATGACGCGACCCATGGCTAGCTAGAGGCGTCGCGAAGAGGCGGACGCGACGCGCGCGCTGGCGCTGGAGACCTCGCGGTCGGGCGCGCCGGGTCCTCGGATTTTTTATCTCGTGATATTACTTGAGTCGTGACTCGAGCGTGAGCCAGGATGTTTGGGCGTTAATATTGAGGTGTCTGTTAACGCCATATAGTGCATCGCCCGCGAAGTGACCGTTTGTGTCGTGCGCGCGGGCGTCACACCGCGGCGGTGGGACGACGTCGAGGCCGCGTCGCGACGGTTCGTCGCGCGCTTCGACGTCTTGGATCGGACGGGAATAAATTATCAAAGGGCTTCGCGCGGACGACGCGGGCGCGGACGCGCGTGGACGACGCGCGCGTCGGCATCGAGTGACAGCTAGGGGAACCAGAGCGACGGTCGAGATGCCGACGACGCGCCGAGCGACACGGGCGTCGTCAAGGCGCGCGGTCGATGACGAGCGCGAGATTGAGTCTCCCGTGAGCGCTCGAGCCGCGAGCGAGCGGTCGATGGAGGCGGAGGCGGACGGGGAGGAGGAGGACGATGACGCGCGGGCGAGCGGGACGCCGGGTGACCGGGACGTGAGCGCGTCGGTGGTCACGGCGAGCGACGGTGAGCTTTCGCCCGTGATCGAGGACGCGTGGGCGATGGCGGAGAGTCCGTCCACGGAGGCACCGCCCACGCAGACGCCGCCGATGCGAGTGAGTGCGAGGGTGGCGGCGATCGAGGAGAAGGCCAGAGGCGTGGAGTCGCAATCGGAAGAGGACAACATGGGCGGTCTCGAGACGCCTGAGCGTGATGTGACGTCGATGCGCGGTGAAGAAGACGATTGCGATGACGACGTCATGCTCGGTGGCACCCCGGAAGGGACAGATGAAGACGAAGAGGAGGAGGGTCAAAAGGTGGAGACGAATGGTCAACAGAATCTATTGTCGCCTGAGGATAGGTTCCGCCGGAGCGACATCGAGACGCGACATCGAGACGCGAGGCCAGGTGGAATTTGGGCGTCGATCGGATCTCCGATGACGACTCCGTTCCAGGCGAGGGCGGTGGGAGGTTCCATCGATGCGGGTGCGACGCCAAAACCGAGCGCCGCCGCGGCGCGCCAGCGCGCCAAGATGCGCCAGTCATTGCCGGCGCAGTTCCAAGCTCCCATGCCCATTTCACGACAAGTTGCAGCGCGCATCGATTGTTTGGGTCCTTCGCTCAATATCGTGCAGCGGATGATGCTCGTGGTTGGAATCTTGCTCGATTTCTACTCAAAGACGCAGTTGATTCGTGAACTTATGCGCTTTGCGCACGCGGGTTCCTGGGTCTGGTTCAGTTTCGTTCTCGTTTTCTTCGTGTTCTCCGCGATGTGTATCACAGGATACTGGGTGCTGCATTATCCCATGCCGCCCAAACCTGAGCCGGGAAGCGAGGGCAAGCAACAAAAGGTGTTTGGCTTCAGCAAATATGACTTCAAGCGTTACGTGAGACGATTCGGTGCTGTGTGCGCTACGTTGCAACTCGGTACGGCCTTTGCGGCGTGGCGAGCGCTTCGTACCAACGATTTGCGCGCAAGAAAAGCCGAAATGGACCTTCGGGGAATGCAACTGGTCGACACCATCTTCTTGACGCTGCCCATGGCGACGCTCCAAGCATACATTGGGATGACATGCTCCTCACCAGCGAACGTCTGTCCGGGTCGCGACGGATTTGATGTCTTACTTTTCTTCGCTGTCGCCGGCTCCATCACGTCTGGCACTCTGTGCTTCCTTTCGCTGGACCTTCACGAAAAACCGCCAACGCTCACTTGGAAGGAGTACTGGAAAGTGCACAGAGCGCACCTTTCTGAGATGATTGCCAAGGGTTTCTACCGATTCTTTGAGCTCGCTGCGCGCGTCTGCACCATTGGCCTGTTCGCCGCGGTCACAGGTCCGTACGTCATGCTCGTGTTTTTCGTGCACGCGTGCATTATCCTGGGTTTGATCAAATACCCTCTCTCTGGCGTTCCAGACAGAAAGGTGTGGGAGCGTTTCTGGGAAGTGCGCCCGTTCAAAATCTTTGGACGCGTCTGGAAACTCCCAGTCCTCGACGACATCAAGCTTTTGGTTGCATGCTTGATTTGGCCGCCGTCATCATACGTGTCGAACGCGACCGATCGTAAGGGCAAATTTTGGTGGCGTTCGACGTCGTGCCCACGGAAATCGTTTTGGGCATTGACTCGCGAAGACGCTCTTATTCCGTTCGCCGTCGTCCTCGGTGTGCTTGCCTTCGAAGCTGGAATCATGCTCATTATCATCTCCTTGATTGCCGAGGAACACTATTACATGTACCTCAGCATTGCCGTCATGACAAACTTCTTGTGGTTGATAAGCGCGGTGAACTGGATGAGTGCAGCGGCACTTTGGAATCCGTTCGTTCCGGAGGGGCCGCCCTTGGGTTATCCTAGTGTGAGTGCTATCAACAGTGCGATCGGTAACCGCCAACTGTTCGCGGGAGTGAACAGGACGCCGATGAAGAGCCCTGGTTCCAACACTTTCGCGCGCTCACCGATGGTTCCTTTCCGTTCTCCGTTGCAGCGCATGGAGGAAAACAAGGCATCACTGAACCTTGGAGGCGCACAGAAGATTGAGGAGCTCACGACGCCTGTGCTTGGCGCAGCAGATGTCAGGAGGAGCGACTCATCATCTGAGTCTCCGTCGTTGGGACCGCGAACGGTCCCAGTCATGCTCAAGGGAAGTCCAAGACCTGTTGAGGTGTACGTAGACATGGGCGACGACTCAGCCGAGCTCACGGAAGTAGAAGAAGAAGCCAACCCCATGGTGGTCGCTGCCCTCGGAGAGGAAGCCATGTTACGCACCAGTCTACAATGGCGAGACTCCATGGATCTCGATCGAACGATGTCTGGTGACGTTGAATGTGGCCAAAGTATAGATGACTTGGAGGCGGCGCGTGAAGCGCTCAACGCAGTTGCGGCCCTGAACACGACTGAAGAGTTCGATGGTGACTATGGTGCCACTCCTAACTTCGGCGGTGATACGCCTAACTTGGCCTCACCGTCCGTGTTTATGGATAAGGAAAACAACGAAGACTTCCAAGAGACGCCAGAGATGGGCGATGGCCCAGAGATGGGCAACGGCGCCTCCCCGATATTCCCGGTGTCACCTGTCGTGCACACGTCTGGGGGATACTCACCACGTTGATCGTAATAGAACACACGTGTAAAAGATTCCGTACAAACTAAAATATCTATTGATTCTTGTTGAAAGGCACGGCCGCGTCGCGAACTATGATGTTACGAAAAGCACCCGGTGCGTGCGCCGAATCTTCACGATTACCGAGCTCTGCGGCTCTGATAGAAGCATCTTCGATCGCTACGGCGACGCGACCGAGCGCGACTAACCCCGATACGCCAATGTACGTCCCTACGGCACCAACGGTCAGCACGGTACCGACGAATGCACCGGCGAGCTTCACACTCCGCGGAGATCCACGACGGACAATAGTAGTGAGTGCCGCCGCGCCGATGACGCTGGTGATGATCCTGTTCGTGTAGTCCATCGGCTTCGCGTCTTCGGGCCACTCGTTCAAATATTCGTTAAACTTCTTCTTCGAATCAGAGCTTTCAATTTCGTCCCAGAGCTTTGAAATGCCCTCGACGTGACCAGCTCCGACGACGCCGACTATCGATTGCACTGTGGGATCCCGCTGTAAAGCCGTCGCCAGGATCAAGTCCCGCTCGCGAACCACGGTCTGCTTCGTCGCCCAGTCCATTATACTCTCTTTCTGTCCACCTTTTTGCGACCCTGGAGTAAACATTGGATTGCCATTGAATGATTCAACTCGCACAAATTCAACCACACGTTTCGCGCATTTGCGAACTTTTAACAGATCATCCACGCGGATGGGCATCCCCTTCAATGCGCTATCCAGCACCTCCAGGCTCGTTTTCACCACCGCCTCACTATTCTTACACCCAGCTTTTTCCATGATCCTTGCAACCTGTGGCAGCTTGGCCGCGATGACGTTCGCTCGACGCGTTTGACGAGCATCGAGCGACGACGAAGGCGATAACGGCGATTCGTCTTCGCCCGCTTCCGGCCCGTTCGTCTCGTACACCGTCTCTTTCGACGAAACCAAACGATCGAATTCGGTCGAACCACGACGAACGCGCGCGTACAGCCTTCCTATCGTCGCTTTTTGACTTCTATCACCCAAGACAACAGTCGCCCCGACGTCTCTCGCGCTCTCCACCGCCGCAATAAACTCCGCCCCTGGTCTACAATCCAACACCGCCCCCACGACGGCGTAACCTAAACTCCCTACCACGAGCGGTATCTCGCCCGCCATCATCGTTCGCAGCGCCTCTCTTGGCGTCGCCACCCTGCGCGCGGCGTGCGCCGCCGGTCGCTCCTCGCTCGCGCTCCTGAGTAAAGCCTTTAATCGATCGCCGTCGAGCTCGATCACCACGAGATCGGGCTTATTTTCGGTGATCACCCTCCGCACCTCTCGCGCGCTGTCCGCCGAGACGTGCGCGCTCCCGATCACGCGCACGTCGGCGCCGGAAGCTGGATGCGAGAGCGTTTTCAGACACTTTGGAACATCCAGCGGGTGGTCCCGGACGCGTAAGACGTTGATTCCGTGCGTTCGTTCGAGAGAGATCCCCGGTGGGAAGTCTATCGGGTCGATCGCGTCGCCGTCAACACCCATCAGTGCGTGTTGGATGGCACTGCGGGGTGGTGAGTGAGGCAACTGTAGTATTGGTTGGACGTCTAGTGACTACAGCGCTAGTTGGGCGAAGCCGGGGAGGGAGGGACGGAAGTGTCAACGTACGGCGCGCGTTTGCGAGGCGTGAACACGCTCGCCAGGGATGGGGCCTCGGTGAAACGCTTGGTGAAGTCGGAGGCGCTGCCCGCGTCGGAGTCCTGGGGTGTCTCGCTTGTTGAGTGGATGACACCATGGGAGTGGAACGTCTTAAGCATCTTCACCAGGATATCGCGCTCGGTCTGGAGCTCGCCCAGAGCGTTTTTCATCATTTGACGCTCTTGAGCGAACTGCGTGGCGCTCGCGGAGGCGACGGAGGCGACGTTATCCTTGGCCTTTGCCGCTTCCTCGTTGGCGGTGCGAAGTGCCTCAGCAGTCGTCGCATCATTCTCTTCGGCTTCCTTCAACCTCTCCTCTAAGACGACCAAGCGCTCGTTCGCGACGCGCAAAGACTCCTTGAGATGTTCTCTAGCTACCTCGCTCTCTTTGTGACGCGCGCTCAACTGTTCAAACTGAGTTTGAATTTGTACAATACTGGCCACCTCGGCGGATGAACGAGATAGCGCCTCGTTCGTCAACCGAAGCTCCTCGTTCATGACCGCATTCCGCGTTTCCGCCGATGCAAGGTTCGCCTTGAGAGTCTCTAGATCAGTCGCTAGCGACGAGTGCTTCGTTTCGCTTGCCTCTGTCACGAGTTGTATCTGTTCCCGAGCGTGCTTAAGACTCTTCTCAAGCTTCTCTTGAAGTTCATTCCTCGTACTGGACGCTTGTTCCTCAAACGAGGCAAGTTTCTGTTCCTTTGCGAGAAGCTGTGCGCGCACGGCGGCGAGTTCTGCACGGATAGCTTCAACTTCCTTCTCGAGTTCATGTGCAGTTCCCGACGAAGCTTGTGCGACTTCAAGAGCATCATGCTTCGTCTGAAGCTCGACTTGAAGCGCGCTGAGTTTGGACTGCATCGACTCGCGAGCGTCGTTCGCTCGCTCAAGTTCTTCGGTCTTAGCGTTTAGTGCGGCCTGAGCAAAGGCTAGCTGAGCGCTCACCTCCTCCATAGCCGCAGTAGACGAGGATTCCGCTCTGGTGAGCGCATCTGTCTTCGCTTGCAGCTCAGTCCTCATGCGCTCGTTAGCACCGATTTGTTCTGAGAGTCGTGCCTTTGTAGCTTCGAGCTGTTGCTTATCAGAAGATGATGCAGACTCTACCTCTTGCATGGTGGCTCTCGTCGACTCAAGCTCGGACTGTAAATTTTTCAATCTTGATTCCATATCGTGCGCCGCTAGAGCTTGCGAAGCATCCGCCTGCGATTGAATTTTGCGTGCGGCGTTAAGCTCTGTTTGAAGGCGATCAATCTCGGCTTTCTGACGAGCAATTTCTTCACTAGCAACCTTCATATCTTCCTCGTTCTTTTTCTCCTTCTTTTCAAGAGAACGCAACGTGACTAGGTGAGCTTGCAAATCTTCGTTTCGAATTCTCTCCTCGGCGAGCTCATCTGACACACCTCGAAGTGCACTAGTTGTGGCGTTCGCTTCGTCAAGCTCAGTTTGAAGTTGTCCAAGCCGCACTTCAGCTTCACTCAGGGTCTCCAGTGTGATCGAGTGCTCTTCGATGGCTGTACCAGACGAAGACCGCGCCTGCACCAAAGAGGATTGCGCTTGCTCCAAAGCAGCACTCTTCGACTCAAGCTCCAACTGCGTGGCTTGCAGCTCGGACTGCATGGATGCGAGTTGAGTCTCAAGCGCCTGCGTCGCCGCGCCGGATGAAGACTGGGCTTGCTCCAAAGCAGCACTCTTCGACTCAAGCTCCAACTGCGTGGCTTGCAGCTCGGACTGCATGGATGCGAGTTGAGTCTCGAGCGCCTGCGTCGCCGCGCCGGATGAAGACTGGGCTTGCTCCAAAGCAGCACTCTTCGACTCAAGCTCCAACTGCGTGGCTTGCAGCTCGGACTGCATGGATGCGAGTTGAGTCTCAAGCGCCTGCGTCGCCGCGCCGGATGAAGACTGGGCTTGCTCCAAAGCAGCACTCTTCGACTCAAGCTCCAACTGCGTGGCTTGCAGCTCGGACTGCATGGATGCGAGTTGAGTCTCGAGCGCCTGCGTCGCCGCGCCGGATGAAGACTGGGCTTGCTCCAAAGCAGCACTCTTCGACTCAAGCTCCAACTGCGTGGCTTGCAGCTCGGACTGCATGGATGCGAGTTGAGTCTCGAGCGCCTGCGTCGCCGCGCCGGATGAAGACTGGGCTTGCTCCAAAGCAGCACTCTTCGACTCAAGCTCCAACTGCGTGGCTTGCAGCTCGGACTGCATGGATGCGAGTTGAGTCTCGAGCGCCTGCGTCGCCGCGCCGGATGAAGACTGGGCTTGCTCCAAAGCAGCACTCTTCGACTCAAGCTCCAACTGCGTGGCTTGCAGCTCGGACTGCATGGATGCGAGTTGAGTCTCGAGCGCCTGCGTCGCCGCGCCGGATGAAGACTGGGCTTGCTCCAAAGCAGCACTCTTCGACTCAAGCTCCAACTGCGTGGCTTGCAGCTCGGACTGCATGGATGCGAGTTGAGTCTCAAGCGCCTGCGTCGCCGCGCCGGATGAAGACTGGGCTTGCTCCAAAGCAGCACTCTTCGACTCAAGCTCCAACTGCGTGGCTTGCAGCTCGGACTGCATGGATGCGAGTTGAGTCTCAAGCGCCTGCGTCGCCGCGCCGGATGAAGACTGGGCTTGCTCCAAAGCAGCACTCTTCGACTCAAGCTCCAACTGCGTGGCTTGCAGCTCGGACTGCATGGATGCGAGTTGAGTCTCAAGCGCCTGCGTCGCCGCGCCAGATGAAGACTGGGCCTGCGCTAGTTGCGTCTTCGCTGAAGCCACTTGCGCCTCGAACTCGATGCGAATCGACTTGACCTGAGATTCGAGTTCTTTGACCTTCGCTTCCGATTCTGACTTGACGCCTTCGATGGAGGATTCGAGCTGTGCCACTCGAGCTCGAGCCTCGCGAGCGTCCTCGTGCATCGCGGCGGTCTCCTTGCTTGATTCACCAGAGCGCGCCGCTCCCTCCCTCGAGCTCGCTAGAAGTGTCTCCAACTCTGAAATTCGCTCCTTGAGCGTTTGCTTTTCCATTTCGAACTTCTCTCTTTCTTCCAGGAGCACTTTTTTTATCGCTCGCGCCTCGGTGTGTGCCTTTTGCTCCAACTCATCCAACGCCTCCTCGTCCACGTCACCTCCCTTACCCTCCGTCCTCGCCCGCGCCCGCGAAAGCTCGGCCTTTAGTTCCTCTATTTGCGCCGTCATCTGGCTCCAAACGGTCGCCGCTCGCTGCCGTATCTCCTCCTTTTCGCCTTGCGCCGCCTCCGCCGCCTTCTTCAGCTCGGCGTTCGCATTCGCCTGTCTCCGCATCTCCCCGTTCAGCGCCGCCTGCGCGCGCTCCAGCGCCTGGCCATGCTCCAGCGCCTCACGCAACTGTTCCCGGAGCGCTCGAACGTCCTCGCTCGCGCGCACCGTCGTCGCGTCGTCCGACCCCGTTCGTCGCTCGCGCTGATTCTGCACCGCCGTCTGCACGCGATTCTTCGCGTTCGCGAACGCCCCTCGCAGCTTATCCGCCATCGCGACGCGCGTGCGCGAACGTTCGACGACCGACGCGCGTTCTCGCGCGCGTCGGTCCCGCGTCGCCCGCCGCGGGCGCCGCGAAGGCGTCGACTTTGGTGCGTCCGTCGTGCTTTATACACAAACCCCGTAAATACATCGACACGAGGTCTCGGGCGGTGGTTTGAATCGCGCGCGGAGGTCGCGAACGCGCGCGTACGTCGCGGTGCGAGCGCCGAGAGAGGTCGCCGCGCGCGATGGAGGCGTCGGGAATTTTTCGCGCGCCCGTCGAACCCGTCGTGGGCGACGGTGCGGCGAAGATGGCGGAGAAAACGTCGCCGATGGCGACGGATGAGACGCGCACGACGACGCGCGAGGCGGAGGGCGACGCGGTGGAGGTCGAGCGACGGGCGCGCGGGACGAGCGACTGGACGAAGGGGCGAGGGAGGAAGCGGAAGAGTGATCTCGACGGGGACTCCGATGCGGATTACGACGCGGTGGACATGGATGAGGACTCTCAGGAGGAGGACTGGGACGACGAAGACTTTGAGGCGCGCGCGCGCGGGCGGAGCGCGAAAGTCGGCGCGGGGGCGAAGATCGTCGACGGGAAGGTAGTCGCGACGGTGGGAGATGGGAGCGTGGAGGGTGACGCTTCAAAGTTGGTGAAGGTGACCGCGGGAGGGGCGGTTCGGGCGGATAGGAAAGGGAGCGATCCGACCATCGCTTTGCTCGCCGCGCTGAGAGAGTATGTCGCAAAGTGTGGTGGTCACCTTTCGGATGATTGGACGTGTACGGCGACGATGCGCACAAACGGAGCGAGTGCGGGGACGTATGATGCCTTGTACTGGTCGCCGGGGAAGCAGGAGCGATACCGCTCGAGATTGGAGGTGATTCGCGCGCTCGGACTGGCTCCGCAAAAGGAGTTGAAATCGGCGAAGACAAAGAAGACGGTGGAGCATATCGAGCCCATCTCGCGCGAGGAGGCCGTGAAGAAAGCTCAAGAGAGCGACACGCCGACGACGCCGATGGATTTGGGTGAGAACACGATCGTCGTGGACTTTGGTAGAATTCTTAGCGAGGACGACTTTCACGATGACGTGCACATTTGGCCCGTCGGGTACACGACCACATGGCAGAACGACTCCGGCGTGATTTTCACCAGCAAAGTCACGAGCGCGTCTGATGGCGCGCCTGAGTTCATCGTAACCACGGAAATCGACGGAAATGTCGTCTCCGCGTGTTCTGCCTCACCGCTCGGCGCCTGGGTGGAGATGTGCGAAGCTGTGGGTCCGACCGTGTCTGTTGGCATCGTGGATCACTTTGCGTTCGAAGACGTTCGCGTCGTTCGCGCTATCGAATCCTTGAACGGATCTGATAAGTGCGAAAAGTACCAATATGTTGAAGAGCGCAGCGGGTGGGACGACGAGCGTGTCCGTCGAGCCAAGGCTCGCGTTTACGAATCCAGAGAGTTACTCGCAAAGATCCGCTTGGTGGCAAAGAAAGCCAAGACGGAGAAGAGGGCCATGAGCAAAGTAGAGAGAACCGTCGAAAGCATGATTGAGCGTCTCATCTCTCGCGTCGACGCTGCGGTGACGCGAGAAAGGCAAAGAGATGAACGTATCTTGGCAAAGAAGGCTCTCGCAGCTGACGCGAAGAAACATCGCGACTCTTTGAAAGAGGCGGCCAAAGCGGAAAGAGAGGCAGCGAAAGAAGCGGCGAAGATGAAAAAGGAAGCGCAGCGGGAGACAGAAAAGATCGCGAAAGAAGCAGCAAAGGCTAAAGCTGCGATTGAACGTGAAGCGAAAAAAGAACTCAACAAGGCAAAACGGGCAAAGGAGGCTGAGGAGAAGAAGATTCGTGACGCCGAGCGCGCTGCGCTTAGAGAAAAAGTCGACAAGAAGCAAAAGGAGTGGCTCACGGGCATGCAAGAACGTGAGCCGGATAGCACGGATACGTCGTTCGCCCCACCTGTCATGACGCCAAACTTGAAGATTGAGCCAGACTTTACTGAAACAACAGAACTGGGTGACATTTTGGAAATTTGGATGTTTCTTGATCGCTTCAAGCGAGAACTCTTTGGCCCGGAAGCCGACGCGAAGTCGCCTCCAAGCGTTCAATCGTTGGCGCGTGTTCTATCGAAGCCGCAGGAGTGCGAAGAGCTCCTGGCCTGCTTGCATTTGAGCTTGATAGCGCCTTGTGTCGCGGATGTCGCTGCGTCGACAGATAAGTCAAGCGCCCAGGCTTTGCAGTTAGTTCCGGATGGAAAAGCGCACCTTTCAGAGACGAAAGGGGTGTGGAAGGAGGTTTTGCGTCGGTTCTTACACGCATCGTCGGTGATATACGATATGCCGTCGTATGAACCGTTTTTGAAGGATGCGCCGCCAATTTTACCTGAAGCGGCGGATGTCTTCACGAGGTACATGTGTGCCGGAAATTCTGGTGTAGACCCGCTCTCTTACGAGGAAGGACCCACCTGGACCGGTCATCCTGTCGAGAAGTACAACGTTCGGATCTCCCCCGCTCTGTGCGCGATTGCCGAAGCTGAAGTTCTTGCAGCTGCGGAAGCCGAGATGTTCACGTACGGAAGTGGTGGTGTGGCTGATGACGCCTCGCGGGTGGTCGATTCGAGACGACAAAAGGCGACCAACGCAATCAGGGAGGCAAGACATTCTCAGAAAGTCCATGCCGTACGTTGTGCGTTGAGAAACATTTCGTATCAGCACGCTTTCAGTCAGGTCTGTCGTCGCGGTGACGCAGCGGCGGTCAAGGGCCAACATCCTAGAGGTTTAGATCTTCGCCTGTTCGACGCTCGCCTTGAGGCCGGCGTGTACTGCGCTGCCGCGCATTCGACTGAAACTGAAACTGAAGAGCTCATCAGAACGGACGCTTTGGAAACTGCGAAGAATATCGCCAATCTGACGAATGGAAACGGCGCAAAGGCACAAAAAGATCTGATGGCAGCAATCGAAGGCGCGATCAAGCAAACAAAGGCTCCTGAAGAGCAGCTTCCAGCGGCGCCGTGGCAAGAGGGTTGCATCGTGTGTGGTCTGGACGTTATGGCTGGCGTGGTTCTCTTGTGCGATTCTTGCGACGCCGAGTATCACACGAAGTGTCTTGATCCGCCTCTGTCTGCAGAACCAGAGGGAGAATGGTTCTGTCCGACATGCGTTCGCAACAAGGAGAACGTCAATCCGACGCCCAGTGTGTACGAGTTGAAGGCGTTCAAAGGCACGAAGCTCGAAAAGGCGGCCACTGGTGAAACCATCGCAGTGAGAGACGCCGCGATGGAGAACGAAGATGATGAGGAGAACTCGATGTACACTGGCGGCTCTCGCGGAGCAATGGGTCGACGCCTGCGCTCTCTGGCGCGCGCATTGGATTCAGTCGGCTTCGAGGGTCTTTCGGTTCAATCTAGAGTGACGCTGATGCGTACGTTAGTAGCTCTTGCACTGGACTCCGTGGCCCTACGTACGTCAATTGATAACGGCGTCAACATGGCAAACGAAGTCAAAAAGGACATTAGGCAGCACGTCAAGGCTTGGAGCGAGTATCGTCTGGATCGCGAAGACGGTAAAGGCGACGCGCGCGATGCCGAAGAGGCTAAGGCGGCCGAGGAAGCGACGAAGGAAGTCGCTGAACCGATGGATGTTGACGGCGAAACCGAGCCAGGAGAAGAAAAGAAGTCTGAACAAGAGAAGAAGGAAAAGAAGAAACGAGTTCCGAAGGCGGAGGAAAAAATTCCGACGGATCAGGAAATAGCCGTGGCTCGCGTGCGATGGCAGAAGAAATGGCACGAAGTGGAAGTTCCTGCGCTGAATACCGCACCACGTCGCGACGTTTTGGGTTCTGATCGCCACCGACAAAAGTACTGGGCGCTTGGTAATTGGGGTGAAGTCATCGTTCAAGCCGCTAAGGACAGTGAACACTACGAAGTTGAGCCAGAGTACGGTATCTTGACTTTGGAAGACACGAAAGCTCTCATCGGCAAGATAAATCCAAAGGGTAGACGAGAAGGTGATCTCTGGCGATCTTTGCAACGTCGATACGGAGCAGATCCGGACGCACTGATGGAAATAAGTCCAGTCCCTGAGCGACCGGATGACAGCGCGTGGGGCATGAGTGAATCGGCTGGGGACGCTGAAGACGCTCTTTCACGCGTTCGCGCTGCGTTCTTGAACTTGGACAGTGAAATCCCTGACGTTGCTTTCAACGAGGTTCTCGGAAGTCCGGAACGTAGGACAATGTGGCGCAATCTTGCTGCGTCGGCTCGCTCACTTTCCTCATTAGCCGCTGCGATCGTCGTGTTTGAACGTGCCATTGAGGGTGACTGGTTGCAGTCTGGGTGGATGTCATGGAGTTGGGTGTCGCCACTCATGCGCAGTGCGACTAGATCCAACGAAAAGAGCGATGGTCTCGGGCTTCGTCTTCACCTCATCGCGCTTCGTCGCGCCTTCAAATGGAACAAGGCAACTCGCGTGTCCGACCGGATCGCACACATCCCAGCTTCGACGGAACCCCTTGCCCCGAGAGCCGCGCGCGCGAAGAGAATCGCAGTCGTGGAGAGTGATTCTGACGATGACGATTACGAGGAAATATTTTCTGATTCAGAAGAGGTTGTCGCGAAAACGACTTCAGAGAGTCGACGATTCAGACTGTAAGTTACGCTTTGCACGAAGTTTGACATGACAATGATTTGTTTAATGAGACAGCGAAAATCCAACACTCAATCAGAAGAGCGCGTGTCCCATGAGCGTCTCGAGAACGATGAGGCTCGCGCATCCAACCATCGCCGCGCGGCCGTTAAGCTGCTCGACCTCCGGAGAGAGACGGTCCTTGACGGCGAGCCACGGCGGGCAGCCGCGGAAAACGTATTCCCACTCCTTGCTGCCAGCCATCTTGAACGGGTTCGCCTCATACCCCTCGTTCGAGCTGAACGCCGGGGCTAGCGACGCGAGCGACCACACGAACATCGTGTGCGTGAGCTCGCCAAAGTTGTGCGCCGCCTGCTGGGTGAAGGACTCGCCCGTGGTGATCTCGCCGAACAGCGCGAGAACAAAACCGAGCATGGCGACCCGACCGTTGATCACCTCCGGCGCCCAGCCCTCGAACGCGAGAATTTCTTGCGGTGTCTGTACTTTCGCGTTGATCGAGAACGCCGGGAAAACGACCTCGTCCACCACGTGCACGACGACGTTTCCACCGAACGCCTCCTTATCCGCCTCCGCCACCCGCACCCCGTCCACCTTCACCCCACTCGAGACGTCCACGACGATCGATCGTCCGCTCAGCGTCTTCACACTCCCATTCTTCAAATCTCCGGACCTCACGGATCCGCTCACGACGTGATGCTTCAGGATCTCACCCAAGTTTTCCCGCGCCGCCAGCTCCTCGAACGCTTGACTTCGCTCGCGCTCCGCTCGCGCGAACGCGCTGTCCGTCGGCGCGAACACCGTGAGCGGTTCCGTCGACGTCGCGATCACGCTCGTCAACTCCGCGGCGTCGAGGGCGGCCAAGAGCTTGGTGAATCGTCCGTCACCGAGCGCGCCGAGCGTGTCTTTCGTCGACGTCGACGCGTGGGCCTCGACCGCGGCGGCGCGTCGAACGTTCGCGATCGACGGTCGAGCGTGCGGACGTCGGCGATGAACGGCGAGCCTGGCGCTGGCGAGGGCGACACGCATCGTGGGACGCGTCGACGCGGACATCGCACGGGACGGCGACGTGGAGTGACGACACGGGTGGTATCACACCGAGCGGTGCGATTGGAGAAGATTATCCGCGGCGAAGGGACGCGAACGGCCGCGAGGGCGCGCGCTTGGAAGAGAAATGTGTCTGTCGTGTGATACAATTCCGTGCTATACGGATTCGTGCGCGAGTGCGAGCGGGACGTGAGATGCACGCTGCGGATGGGTCGGCGTCGATGGTTCAGCAGCACCCGCCGCTCTGCGCCTTCGGACCGGCGTCGATTTGGACGACGTCCGGGAGGAAGACGTCGGGCTCCGTGTCCTCGCTTTCCACCGCGAATCGAGCGACAGCCTCGAAGGCAGCGGTGACGTTAATGTCTTCCTTCGCACTGCACTCAAAGTGCATCAGACCGCCCTTTGACGTGCACCAAGACTTGGCCTTTTTCTCGCTGATCACCCTCTTGCTCTCCTTGCCCTCCTCCACGTCGATTTTGTTCCCGACGACGACGATTGGGAACTTGTCCGGATCGCTCGGTGACGCCTGCACCAAGAACTCGTTTCGCCAGTTCTCCAGCGACTCGAACGATTTCGCACTATTCACGTCGTACACGCACATCACGCAATCCGCGCCTCGATAGAACGAGACGCCGAGCGACTGAAACCGCTCCTGCCCGGCGGTGTCCCAAATCTGCAGCGTCACAACCGTGTCGTCCACCGTGATCTCCTTCGTCATGAAATCCGCCCCAATCGTCGCCTTGTACTGCTTCGAAAACTTGTTATTGACGTACTGCGACATAAGGGACGTCTTCCCAACCCTATGCGTCGTCACGCACCGTCAGTCTCTTCGCGCGCCTCGCTCGCGTCTCTTCGCCCGCTGCTTCCCCTCGCGTCGCGCATCGCCTCGTCATCGCTCGCACGCACCCCGAGTCGCCCAGGATTATGACTTTAAGTAAAGTACGCTACGATCGCGGCATCGCGCATCGCGCTCGTCAGTCCACGCGTCTCGTCGTCGCCGTCGTCGTCGTCGAGATGGGCTCGAACCAACACCAAAGCGTAACCGACCACATCCCCGCCCTCTATCGCCGCGCGCGCGCTCGTTCGAGTCATCCACCGCGCGCGCGTCGCGCATCGTTCACGCGCGACGCATCGCGCACCTTTTTCGTCGACATCTTCCTCGCGTCGCACCGCGCGTCGACGTGTGTGGTGCACGATGTCGCATCTTGGTATCGTTTTCATGCTGTACCGTTTGCCCACACGAAAAGTTTTTCGAAATCAAACGACACCCCCGTCGACGTCGCCCGCACGTCGCGACGCGCGCGCGCGTCCGTCGCGATGGACGCGACGTCGACGTCGGAAGCGGTGGACGCCGCGCTGCGCGACGTCTACGCGGCGTGCGAGCGCGTGCGAGAGGCGTTGCAAGAAAACTCGCTTCCGAGCGATGTCAGACGCGCGCTGGACGGCGTCGAACTTCGTGCGAGAGCGGCGCGGGCGATGGAGGCGCCGCGAGAGGCGTTGGAGGCGATGCAGCGAACGGTTCGTGCCACGGTGGAGGCGGGAGAGCGGGCGACTTGGACGTGGGAGGTGGACGCGCGCGAGAGAGGGCGAGAGGGCGAGCTCGTTCGGGACGTCACGGAGGAGCTCGATCGGTGGGCGGAGGAGGACGAGCGACGGCGGGCGAAGCGGCGGGAGGAAGATGTGTGTGCGCGTTCGTCGTCGGTACGGGCGGAGGAGGCGTCGGGGGTACGGGATGGTGCGCGCGCGTTGCGGGAGTTGGAGCGGGCGACGTTTTCGAGACGCGCCGTCTCTCGTCGCGAGCCGCTCAATGGAGAAGACGAGGCAAGGGAGCGCGGGAGGAAAAAGAGGGAAGAAGTTTTATTAAAGATAGACGAGACGTTGGCTTCGATCACGGATGAGGGGATGGAGGGTGCGGTGACGGTGGCCTCAAACTTGGGCGATGGTTCAGCGAAATTCGTCGTCGGTCCTGTTGTCGGTTGGTTGACCAATCAGAGTACGTTTTTGCGCGCCAGCGTCGCTGTGGTCCTTGTGTGCACTTTCTTCGCGATCGTGCTCATCGAATTTCTCGTGGATGAACGGTCCGCGGATTCCGGTGCCGTGACGTTCAACTCTGCGCCGCGCGCGTAGACATACGCGTACGTCTTCACCAAAAAGATGCAGGGAGATTTTTTCCTTCGCCACGCCTGAGACCGCGCGTGTCACTTCGGCGCTGTGTACATGGATTAGCTTTAGCGAGATGTAACAATTATTTTAGGCCGCGATGAACGACGCTGTAAAACAAGCTTAATGTTTTGGAAATCACAAACGGCCCTTCCGACTAATAAAGAACAACGAACGTGATCGTGCAAGCGCTCCACACTCTAGATTGCTTATCGCGGGGAAACGGTGATTTCGCTTTCCGGGGCGGTAAGCGTACCGTTCTTAAGCTCAAGACCCGCGAGGAGCGGCCACGCGCCCGCTTGGAACATGAGACCGAGCGCCTTCGGGACATCAATGATGATCTCACCTTCAGTCGGCTTGCTCGCCGTCTTGTTCTCTTGGATGTAAGATCGGCCCGCATAGCCAATCCATCCCGCCACGTAAAGGAAACCCAAGCCCGGAATGGCGAACTCACCGAGGTGCTCGAGGTTGCCGTCGACAATCAAGTGCGGGAGGCCATCCTTACCGCAGAGGAGACCAGACTCACCGTAGTTGGCGAAGCGCGTCTTGGTCTTCTCCATGGTCGCTTGAAGAGCGAGCGCCGGGGCGGACTCCGGGTCGTACTTCTTGAGGCGCTTCTCGAGCGCCTTGAGTTCCGTCTTTTCACGCTTCGCGAAAGCCTTGGAGGTCTTGCACGGGGTCAAGCCGGCGTACGGCTGAACATCGCGCGCGAAGGCTTCTTCGACGGCGACGAGCGGAGCCGCGGCGACGGCGGCGGCGACGGCCAAGGACGCAGCCTTCTTGGAGAAGTCAACGGCGGAGCAGTGCGCGACGGTCTTCACCGCGCGCGTTTGCACGCGCGCGGATCGCTTGAGACCGGACACGGTCACCTTGCTGGTAAGCTGAGCCTGTTCGAGCGGAGTTCAAACGCGCGCCTTAGGTCAGTCTCTCGCTTCAATCGTCGCTCGATCGCGTCGTCTCCCCACCCCGGTCGCCCCTCGATTGACCACCACAACGCGTCACGACGCCCCCCTCCACCGTTTTCACGTCACCACGCCATCCGAACCCGCGCGACGCCATCCGCATCCGCCGCCTTCGCGTCGCCGCGAGACGCCGCGAATCGCCGCGCGATCGCCTCGCGCCCGCGCGCGCCCCATCCCACCCCCCCCCCGACCGCCATCCCCCCATCCACGCCGCGACGACGTCCACCGCCATCACCCTCGTCCCCCAAAGCGCTCCGATCCCCCATCGATCGCCCAGCGTCCGCGGCCACGCCCCAAAGATCTCGGATATCGCCCGATCGTATCGCCCCGATCGCATCGCGCGAATCATCATCCTCGATCGCCCGCGCGCCCCCGCCCGCCCCCGACGCCCCCCGCGCGCGCGCATCGCGATCGCGTCGTCGTCGTACCTGCGCGTGGGCGTGCATCGCGTCTCGATCGCGCGCGAAGTGCGGTCGCGCGCGGGCGTCCCGTCGCGGTCGCGGTGAAGATACGCTCGCGGATCACGCGATCGATCGGGGACGTCGTACATCACGGTGGGTTTACCCCATCGACGGTGGGCGTCGGGGCGGGGATAAAACCTCGAGCGCGGCGACGTGGACGTCGCGCGCTCGCGCTTACGGGTGCGTCGTCCCGCACCGCCGGCGCCGTGGACGCCGACGACGGACGCGACGACGGACGATCGCGCGCGCGTGGGGGCGCGGGAAGGGGTCGAGGGACGCGCGCGCGGGATGGCGCTCGCGGAGACGACGTGCGCGCGCGCGGCGGGGACGGCGACGGAGGTGATGGCGACGATGGTGGAGACGAGCGCGCGGGCGGCGCGGGCGCGGCGGCGGCGATGACGACGGCGAGTGGCGCGCGCGCTTTGGATCCGTCGGCGTACGCGTTTGAGTTCTACGCGGGGGCGAGAGAGATGTCGGAGGAAGATCGGGAGTGGTGCTTCGACGTGACGCGAAGGAACATGCGGGAGGCGTACGAGCGCACGTGGGGATGGGACGCGGTGGAGAAGCGACGAGAGCTGAATAATCACGCGGCGAGATTCATTTTGGCGAGAGAGGTGCGTAGTGGGGAGCTCGCGGCGTTCGTGCACTTTCGATTCGAGCGCGAGGACGAGGAGGTGGACGCGCCGGTGGGGTACGTGTACGAACTCCAATGCGAGCCGAAACATCAGAGACGGGCGCTGGGAGAGACGCTCGTGTGCGTCGTGGAGGCGGTGTCGAAGCGATTGGGGATGCACGCTGTTGTCTTGACGGTGCTCAAGGTGAACGTGGGGGCGTACGCGTTCTACACGAAGAGGATGAAGTACGAAATCGACGACTTGAGCCCGGACGAGAGTTTGGACGAGGGAAGCGCGCACTACTTGATCCTATCGAAACGCTTCGTTTGATGAGTGAAAGAATTCTCCTGTACTAACTAATTTCTAAGAGCTAAGCCGCGCGCGTTTCTTCGCATTCTCGTTCGAGTCGAACTTGGAGGTGGTCTTCTTTCGAATCACTTCCACGTCGTCATCGTCATCCGCCGCGCGCTCGAGCACAACATGTCTGCCATACAAGTGCGTGCCCTTGAGCGCATCCATCGCCGCCTGCGTCTCGCGAGCGGTATTGAACTCGACAAAAGCGAAGCCTCTATGCGCGCCGTCGAACTTTTTGGGCAAGCGAACCTGCTTGAGCTGACCGAACGGATTGAAGAGCTTCTGAATGTCTCGCTTGGTCGCCTCGAACGCGACGTTTCGAATGACGAGTTTCGTGGCGCTGAATCCCGTGGGAACTTTTGAGCTCTCCTTGCCATCATCTTCACGACCGCTACCCTGCGAGCTGAGCTCGAGTTTGAGTGTCTTTCCGTCAAGAGATGACCCTTGGAGCGCGTTTAGGACAGATTTGGCGGTGCGGTGACTGTCAAGCTCCACAAAGCCAAATCCTCGACTGAGCGTCTTTCCGCCAGGACCACGGTGGGTAACAATTCTAACGGATACGACTCGACCGGAGACGCGCTGCGCCGCGACGAGGAAGTGCGAACGTAACTTGTTCTCCGTGGTTCCGAAATCCAAGCCTTTTACGAAGATCGACAGCGCATCGTCGTTTGAACTCTTGCCAGCGAGGTCGCTCGTCGCGTCCACCTTCGCCTTGGTCTTCTCCCGAGCGGCTTGTGCCAGATCGCTTTCCGCCTCGGCAACGGCCAAAGCTTTGGCTCCCTTAATGTCCACCTTTGAGGTAGCAGCGAAAATATCATCCGGTGCCCACTCGACGTACAAAGGGACATGCCTGTAACGCTTATAAGCCAGACTAGTGAACGCACGTCGCGCCTCTGCAGCTTCGAGGAACTCAACAACGGCGATCGTGTGCGTATCTGGGAGAATAAACCTCGCCAAACCGCCATACTTTTCGCACATCTCTTTGAGCTCGTCTTCATCGGCTTCATAAGGCAAGTTTTTCAGCAACAACACGCAGTTGCTTCGCTTGACTCTGCTCGAACTCTTTGCCCCGCTGGCAGCAGCAGATCGCTCCAACGAATCTGCATCCACACCAGAGTCGGTGAGTTGCTGCTTTGTTGTCGCGATGACATGAGCTTCACCAAGTGCCATACGCACAGCGAGATCGTCCGCGCCGGATTCTAAAAGTTCAGCCTTTGTCACACCATAATGCGCGGCAATCGCAGCCGCGACCGTGTCTTGGCGCATGAAGAGCGAGTTCCAAGCCTTCGTGTTACCCGCATCCGCTTTGCGCTCTGCGTCGCGCTCAGTCTTGAACGAATCCTTTTTCCCTTCTTCTTCATCGTCCCCGCCCACGCGACCGACGCCACCCATGGTAGTATCGATCTGTGGCGCGCGCTTCGCCGGGAGCAAATGAATCAAGCGTCCTTGAAAGATGGAACCATCTACCGCCTCCATCGCCTTCACGCCATCCTCGGGGATGGCAAACGTCACGTACGCCAAACCTTTGCTTCGCTTTGTGCTGCGATCGACGAGGATGTGCACCGCACTGAGCTTACCGAACTGCTCAAAAAGCTCCGCGACTTCCTCTTCAGTGGCCGTGTAGGGCAAGTTTCGGACGAAAATTCGACCGGTTTCGGACAGGGCCTCCATGTCCGCCGCGTTCACGTCCTTGGTCTTTGGCTCAACCTCTTTGACGTCTTCAGACTTTTCTTCATTCGCCTCCTCGCCCTCAGACTTATCCAAATCATCGATATCATCTTCGCGAACTTCAGAGTCAGAATCTGATTCACTATCGTCTTCAGAGTCCTCCTCTGATTCCGAACTGAATTCAGACTCGGATTCGTCATTGATAGCACCCTGTTTCAACTTGAAGTAATCCATATCAGAAACCTTGTCATCGTGAGCCACGTCGTCCTCATCCGACTCTTCGTCATCTGATTCGAGGTCCGATGCGGATTCTTCGCCGTCGGAGCCTGATTCCCGCTCCTTTCCCTTGGAGTCACCGTCCATATCTTGGTACTCGTCATCGCTGCTCCCCGCGTCGCCATCCTCTCGCAATACCTTCTCGGAATCCTTATACTGCTCCAGCGTGTCCATATCCTCGAAGAAACCATCGCTCCAAAACTTGGACTTCTGCGGCATCATCAATTGCATGAACTCGCGAAACTTTGGATCCTCCTTCATCATCTGCTGCGCCTTGTACTTTGGGTCGTACTTTTCTCTCAATTTTTGTTTAGCCAACTTTTTAGCCTCTCGCGCCCCGATCCACCGCTCGCCCTCCTCCTCCTCCTTCGCCGGCGCCTTTTTCTTTTCAACCTCCTTATTCGCCGAGCTCCCGGCGCTGTACTTCGACCACGGCCTCGGGATCTGCGCGCTGTGTACGCTCCGCGCGTACGTCACCTCAATCCTGCTCGTGTCGATGAACGTCTTATCAAAGTACTTCATCGCACGCGTCGCCGCCTTCTCTGTCTTATACCCCACAAACGCCATCTGTCTCGACGTCCCGTCCGCCGTTCGCACAACCTTGACGTCCGTGACCTCTCCCTGAGACGCAAAGTGCTCTCGAAGTCTTTGCTCCTTCACGTGCTTCGGGACATTCTTCACGCATAATCTCGACGTCGGTCGCACCTCTTCGTCCACGGACGACGACGCGATACCGTTACCATCCGCACGCGCGCGCGCGGAGGCGTCCTCGACGTCGGATCGCGTCATTCCGAGCGCTCGAACGCCGACGACGAGTGGCGGCTGCGTCTCTCGTGGTCGCGTCTTGGATCGAGTCTCAATTTTGAGGTGGGTCGTGACTCTTGGAGTACTCCTGACGGGTCGTGACCCACGCGAGAGTCTCAAGAACGTCGGGTCCGTGACGCCACTCGTGCGACTCCGATGACATCCACGGGTCGTGATTCCTGACGATTGACTGAGACGTAAACAATGGCGAGGACGCGCGCGCGGTCGTCGAGGCGCGCGCGTCGTCCGCCTCTACGCGACGCTCGAGTGCAGGTGCGAGCGACGATGGATCGACCGCGAGGCGCGCGAAGGGGAAGGAAGAGACAATGCGCGATGGTTTCGTGGGAACCGACGACGGGAACGACGGCGTGGGAACGAGGAGGACGCTGAGGACGATCGCAGGCGTCAAGCCCTAAGATCGACCGCGGCGTACGCATCTTCGCGACGACGCGTCGTGGGGAGCGGCGTGACGGGTGATCGAGCGAACGGGAAAGATTCTGTATCAACCCGTGCGTTCGTTCGCGTCGGTGGGTGATGGAGAGCTCGGTCGGGGCGACGACGGGCGGGGCGATTGGGCGTGAGAAAACCCCAGGTCTGCCTGCTGGTGGCTGCGCGTATGCAAAGCATTCGATGACGTGACGGACGAGAGACTGACCGCAGACAAACGTTTTACGCGAACGTAGGCAACGATGCGTCTCATTCAGCGCGAGATCAAGCTCGCGATCCCGGAAGGCGTCAAGGTGACGGAGTGCAAGGCGCGCAAGATCACTGTCGTCGGCCCGCGCGGCACGCTCAAGCGTGACTTCCACCACGTCCCGAAGCTCGACCTCGTCCTCTCGGAGGATGGCTCCGAAATCATCGCGACGATGTGGCTCGCTTCCAACAAGCGCTCGTCTGCCTTGCGCACGACGATTAGCCACATCTCCAACTGCTTCGACGGCGTCACGAAGGGCTTCCGCTACAAAATGCGCGCAGTGTACGCGCACTTCCCGGTGAACATCGCCATCGAGGATAACGGCACGCGAGTTGAAATCCGCAACTTCCTTGGCGAGAAGCGCACTCGCGTGTGCCAGATGCTCGAGGGTGTCAAGGCGTACCGCGACGAGTCGGTGAAGGACTGCATCGTCATGGAAGGCAACGACATTGACAACGTGTCTCAGTCGGCGGCCCTCATCCACATGTCGTGCTTGGTGAAGAACAAGGATATCAGAAAGTTCCTTGATGGCATCTACGTTAGCGAGAAGGGCACCATCGAAACCGACGCGTAAACGGTGGAGGGTGTTCTGGGGCTGATGTCATTCATAGTCGTGACAAAAGCTTTCTTAGGTGTGTAACGGAGCGATTCTGAGCTCTACAAAATCTTCGATTCAACACTTAATTCGTTAGATAGAATTTTTTTCTCGCTCGTTTTCTCCTCCTCTCGTGACCTTCTCACGTCACGCGACGGCACGCTTCACTTCCCGACGCGATGGCAGAGGAAGTCCCACCGGGCGACCCTCCTGTCGAGCAGGTCGTCGATGAACCCGCCGACGAACCCGCCGACGCCACACCTCGTACCTACCTCGGCGTCGCTATCGACTTCGCGCGCGCACTCTATAAAAACTGCGTCCCGAAGAGAGCGATATTGACGCCCTTCGAGCAAGGCGTCAAGGCTTCGAGGTTGTTAAGACGCACTCGAAAAGACTTCGCCCGCTTCGACGCGGATGGCTCGGGAGGAATCGACCGCGATGAACTGTGCGATGTATTAGAAATTGACCGTCGAGGGACGACATCCAGAGCGGTGCTCGATTTCTTCGACGCGGACGGGGATGGGAAGATTAATTTTGAAGAATTTGTATCGACGCTCGGGACGCTCGGCGCTGTGGTGGACAACATGCGTCGATGCAAAGAGAATCGAAAGGAGAACATCCCGCGCGAGGTGTGCTTTGTGTTCACCGTGATGGATTTCGACGGCGACGGGAGGGTCGATCGCGGGGATTTTGCGCAGTTGTTGTGGGAGTACGAGAGACGAAAGGAGCGCTCGTTCGGTCGGTTGAAGAGCGTGCCGGTGGCGAATTTCTCCGCGATCGATTCGTCGCTCGAGGTCACGGCGACGGAGCGTTACATTGCGGATCAACGAGCGGAGCGACGAGAGTTCTTACGACCTGTGCGAGCGTTCGTTAAGAGCGCAACTCTGTACCTGTCACGGCAGTGCCCAGAGGCGATGACGCTCCAAGATGTGGATAAAGTTTACACCGAGTTCAAGCCTCTCTTCGAGGCCACGATTGCGCTTCATAAACAACTTAGAAATATTTCTGAGCGCTGTGCCAAACTGATTCGGACACTTTACAACGGCATCGATGACATAGAAGAGTTACATCGACAGATGTGTGACAGGGCAATTGCGATGAGAGCAAAGAGGGAGGAAAACAAAGGCGACTGGGACTGGGCGAAAGGTCTACAACGCAGCAGCAAGCACACGAGCGCGAGGGAGGAGCACGTAAAGGAAGAGCGTCAAGTGTTAGCAGAGGTGGCGCAGATAGGTAGATTATTGCGAGGGGAGAGGGTGGTAAAATCAGGCACGGAGGAAGAACGAGAATTTCTCAGCGCATTTTCTTTCCGCAGGGATGGAAGTGTTCACAGAGCGGAATCAAGGCGCTTAAGAGGTCCGCGAGCGTCTGGAAGAGGGAGTAGCAGCATAGAAACGGCGAGGATGAGGGCACGCCAGTTGGCGCATCAGCCGCCTCGCGAAGCTGCAAAGGTTCTGTCTGAGCTCGGTGTCACCGCTCAGAAGGATGTGATTCATCGTCTTTCAAGAGATAATGCGGCGAAAATCATAGTAGAAATGGGACAGCTGCAGCAGGATGTATTGCTATGTCATTTCAAGGAGCTGCAAGAGTCCGTGATGAGGATCAAAATTGCGAGAGTAGAGGATTTTGGGCGATGATGTGACTCCATGTGTAATCCGAGGTTCGAGGAGACAAACCCGCGCGCTTCATTCTCCGACTTCCCTCAGGAGGAATGCATACGATCAGTTTGATGTTACTCGTACTACAGCTCGTTTTCGCGTTCGCGTCCGTTGTATCGGCCGACCACGACGCAGATTGGTTTCGAAGCACAAACTCTGGGAGACACAACAGTTTAGATTTGTCAAAAGGACTCGAAGACCAAGTTGCCGCGACCACGTGTCTATCTGATTCTTTCGTCCGTGTGAATGGACGTCGCTTCGAAGTAGGTGGTGAGGAGTTCATCTTTGCGGGGTGGAACCAGTGGGAAATGATGGAGCAAGCTACGGGCGCTGGACCGCCGGCGCGACATACTCCCCTGAGCGGACGAGAGCACATCGTACGATTGTTAAACGAGGGCGTTAAGACTGGCTTGAAGGTCATTCGAGTTTGGGCGCATCTTATCACACCAGGTCAAGAAGTTCAAAGCGAACCGGGTGTTTGGAACGAGGAACGACTGCGAGGTCTCGATTTCTTCATCGATGAGGCTCGCAAGCGTCGCCTTCGGTTGGTGATAGTCCTGGCTGACAACTGGTACGTGAGCGGTGGCGTGGATAATTACGTGAAGTGGTCTGGTTCGGCACAGACGCACCAGGACTTTTTCATCGATTCTGGTGCCAAAAGAATCTTCAAGGACATGATCTCGACAATCACAAATCGACAAAACACCATCACGGGTATTCGTTACGCGGATGATCCAACTATCATGTCGTATAATCTCATCAACGAAGCACGCTGTCAAAATTGTCCAGCGGAGACGATGGGAAGGTGGATTGACGAAATGGCTCGATTTCTAAAATTGAACGCCCCGAATCAGCTGGTTGGTCTAGGTTACGAAGGCTTTTTTCATGAGAGTGATCCAGAAGATTTGCGAGCGACAAATCCTGGCGTCGGCTCGAATTGGGCGGCGAAAGAGGGCCAGTCGTGGCTCCGTCACTCTAGACTCAAGAGCATCGATTACACATCAATTCACGTGTGGCCCGATAATTGGTCGCCGAAAACAGTCGAGTTCATGAAGTCCTTCATAAGGTCGCGAATCGATCTAGCGCAGTCCGTCGGCAAGCCTTTCGTTCTGGAGGAGTTCGGTAAAAAGGTCGATCGTTCCGCCGGCGAAGCAGGCTTCGTCGAGCGCGATCAATACTTTTCTGCTGCCTTCGAAATCGCCGAGCGAGCGGCTCGAGACGGCGAGCTCTCTGGAACAATTTTCTGGCACTGGTACGACAGAGGCATCGGCTTGACGTCGAGATACGGAATTCACAGTGATGAGACGACGTTCGAATTAGTGAAGCGACACGCCAAACGAATGAACATCATCGGGAACGTGCGTGACTTTTGTTCCTACGCCTAGTTTACAAGAGCGACGCACTGCCACGCTAAATTTTCTCGCAACTCTTCTCCGCCACCGTTCATGTAAGCGCTTCGATCAAAAAGGAGTTCGCGCACCGGCGCCGATGAACTCTCATTAATCTCCGCCTCCCACACCCATGAAACATTCTCAAACTCGCTAAAACTCTCACGTATGCTGTCTTCGTCGCTCTCCGCCTCGCGAAGCGAGTACGACGTCACCACGAGCGGTGTCTCGTCCCGTACCACCACTCGCTCGATCGTCGGGAGCCAATCTTCCGGATCGTACCCCCATACGCCCGCATTAAACGCGAAAGCCACGTTCGCTCGCTCATCCACATCATCGCTCGACGCGCACTCGTGATGTAGCCCGCATCGAAATTCCACCGTGACCGCCGCCCGCTTCGCCGTCGCCTCTTCAGCCGTCACCGCGCGTCCCAACTCCACCCCCTCGTCCACGCGCACGTTCGGTCCAACGCACACGACGGAAACTTCCTCGACCCCCTCCTCCCTCGCCATCGTCGCCAGCCCCCCGAACGACCGCGCGACGTCCTCCGGCGTCGTCCCCTCCCGTCTATCGGCGCCGAGCACCAAGACGTGCAGCGCGCGCCGCCCCGACCGACTCGCGACGTCGTCGAGCGTTCCCAATCGACGCACCGCCTCGCACATCGTGCGCGACCGCGAGCGCGCGGCCTCGCGCGCGAGCTCGTCGTCGACGCGCCGCGCCATCGTCGCGAGGTGTCGACGATGCGACGGGGCGACGGTGCGGTCTCGGCGCGACCGACGCGGACCCTGTGCCGGCGATCGCGACGCGGACGACGCGCGCGTCGCTCGCCGCGCGCGAGGGGCGCGCGCGCGGACGCGATCGCGATCGCACCGCGGACGTCGCGCGCGTCGCACCGCGCGCGAGGTCGACACGGGGGCGCGGACGCGCGAGGCGATTGGGTGATAATCCGTGCGGGGCGATCGAGCGACGACGCGGATCGAGACTCGGTGCGCGCGAAAGACGTCGCGTGGGAACGGTGAGGGACGGCGCGTGGAGAAGTTATTTTCGTGAACGATCGGTGCGCGATGAACGCGGAGAAGCGAGCGGAGATTTACACCTACGAGGCGCCGTGGATGGTGTACGCGTGCAACTGGAGCGTGCGGCAAGACAAGCGATTCAGGCTCGCGCTCGGATCGTTCGTCGAGGAGTACAGCAACAAGGTGGAGATCATCACCTTGGATGAGGAGACGGGGGAGTTTCCGAAGGAGGCGAAGTGCTCGTTCACGCATCCGTATCCGTGCACGAAGATTATGTTCATCCCGGACAAGGAGTGCACCAAGGAGGATCTGTTGGCGACGACTGGGGATTATCTGAGGATATGGCAGGTAAAGGACGAGGACACGGTGCAGATGAAGTCGTTGCTGAATAATAACAAGAGCAGTGAGTTTTGCGCGCCGCTGACGAGCTTCGATTGGAACGAGACGAAGCTTCAGAGGGTCGGGACGTCATCCATCGACACTACGTGCACAATTTGGGACATTGAGCGAGAGTGCGTGGACACGCAACTCATCGCGCACGATAAGGAGGTGTACGACATCGCTTGGGGTGGTCCCGAAGTGTTTGCTAGCGTGAGCGCGGACGGAAGTGTACGGGTTTTCGATCTCAGAGATAAGGACCACAGCACAATAATTTACGAGAGTCAGACCCCAGACACACCCCTGCTGCGCCTAGGATGGAACAAACAAGATCCGCGGTACATGGCCGCGATCTGCATGGATAACCCGGTGGTCGTGCTCGATATTCGCTTCCCGACTTTGCCCGTGGCGGAACTTCAGAGCCACAGGGCGAGCGTGAACACGTTAGCCTGGGCGCCGCACAGCTCAAGTCACATGTGTACGGCAGGCGACGACAGCCAGGCATTGATTTGGGACTTGTCGTCGATGAACCAACCGCCTGAGGGAGGATTGGATCCAATTTTAGCGTACTCTGCGGGTGCGGAGATCAATCAGCTACAGTGGAGCGCGACGCAGCCGGATTGGATCTCAATCGCGTTCCGCAACAGTTTGCAGATCCTTCGAGTCTAGATTCGTGTGGTCTTGATCTCTTAATCTCGAGACTTCGCACTCAAGGCGGCGGCGGTGTATACTATCTTATCCAATCTTTCGGGACTTGAGCACTCGAATAATATCAACTAGATCTCAGTATCCGGCAGGGCTGTTTAATACTACCTTTTTGCTCGCGCAACCTGTCGCGAGCGTCGCGAGCGTCACACTCCCACGCGTCCGTATCATGCCCGCCGACGACCCATCAGAGCGTCGAACATTGACGTGCGATCACGTGTGCCCGAGCACGAGCGCCAACGTCGCCACGAAACTCCTCGAGGCGATCGCTCGAGCGACGGTGTATCAAACCAACTTTCTATCGACGAGCGCTTCGAAGAGCGAAAAGGCGTCGTCGTGCGCGCGCGAGCTCGAGCGCGCGCTCTTGGACGGAGAGGGGAAGACATTGAAAGATCTGCTCGACGCGATTAATAATTGGACGGCGTCCAAGCGCGGGTTCATGAGCGAGGTGCTTGGCTCAAGTGACGAAAATGTGCGAGCGATGGAGAAAGAGTTGGATTTAGTAGACGTATGGCCGGATTCGAAGAGGCACGCGCTGGCGGTGAGGTTGGTGCGTGATCACTTCGATGTCAATCACCAGGCGCACTGTTCGACGTCATTCGACGACGAGGAGGGGTTGTACGCACACAAACTCAAGGACTGCTCGTTTCGACCGATGTCGTGCGAGAACGAAGGATGCGTGGCGACGTACAGCCTGAAGAACCAGGAGAAGCATGACAGTATGTGCTCTTTTAAAGTCATAGATTGCAGTCTAGGATGCGGGGCGCGGGTGATGCGCCAGGACATGGAGGCACACACGACTGGACCGTGCGAGATGCGCCCTGTTTCGTGTCCGTATGCCCTGATTGGATGCGATGGTCCGGTTCCCCAGCGAACGATGCCGAACCATCTCGTCGAGAACGCGGATAACCACTTGCGTATGCTATACGAAGCGAGCGCGAAGATGTCTATTCGCGTCGAGGAGCTAGAGACGTGGGCAAACGACTTAGTCGCCAATGACAACACTCGCCGCGAGGGCATCCGCGCCATCGACACCGCCCTTCTCGCGCTGGAGACAAAGCACTTAGAGCTTGACACCAACACGACCAAGCACACGGCCAAGCTCGAGGCTCGAGTGCGAGAACTGGAATCCACGGTGAAGAAGCAAGCCGTCGAGCTTGTCTCGGTGCGCAAGCAACTCGCTGACATCGTCAAAACGGTAAGTCAACTCTCCAAACATTAGCCCGCGCGAGATGTAACGCGCACGCTTCGCTTCGTTTTTCTCGATTTTCGCCCCGTCGACGCCGTCGGAGTGTCGATCTCGTTCGTCGCGCGCTCATATTCCAGGCACCATGATTCATGACTCACGCATGACTCCAGCTCACGTCAGATCTTACCCCTCGCGCGTCGAACTCGTGCGCGAATTCGCGCGCGCGTTCGCCCGGGCGCGCGTCGTGATCATCCTCGACGATCTCCGCTCGAGATGTCCACCACGCTCATCGTCACCGCGTTCAATGACGAGGAAAAGGTGCGCGCGTTTGAAATCTCAGCTCCACCAGTCCCGACTGACCTCGAGCTCGTTTTCTCACTGAATAGGCGGAGATTAGAGCTCTGTGCGCGTCGTTGGACGTGCGGTTGGATGAGTCCCACGGCCTGGGTGATGCCTTCGACGTGTGCGTGGCGAAGACGACGACCTCGATGAAGTACGACGAGGCGAGACAGATGCGGAAACCAATCGTGACGCTGGATTGGTTGCGCGCGAGCGCAAAGGCGAGGCGGTTGATCGAGATGGATAGATACAAAGCGCCGCCGTTGATGGGGTGCGTCGTGTCCATCACGGGATTCACAGATTTGACGGTTCGGTCGGCGCTTCAGAAGAGGGTGGAGGCAAACGGGGGGATATATTCACCGGACCTGGTGTGCGATAAGTGCACCCACTTGATTGCGGCGAAACCCGAGGGACAGAAGTATGAGGTAGCGAAAACTGAGTCAGAGAGAGGAAAGTCGCTCGTTAAGATTGTGAGCGAAAAGTGGTTGGACGATTGCGTGCGGTTAGGGGAGAAGGCCAGCGAGGATCGATATCAAGTGGTGGAGAGAGTCGTCGCCGCGCCGCAAGAGCCGAAATGGGTGCCACCGCCGCTGCTAGAGGATGACACACCGTGGGATTCGCATTATTTATTCGGATGTCGAATTTGCTTGGTGGGATACGATGACTACGGGCCTGAGGATTCCCAAACAAAGAAGAATTTGATGCAAAAGGATGCGTTTGAGATCACGAAGATGGTTCGTCTTGGCGCTGGTATCCTCACTAAGGATTTAGATAGGGCGACGCACATAGTCCTGAGCCGGAATGCGAGCTTCAGAGCTTATCACAGCGTGAGGATGGCTAAAGATCGCTGCCTCACCGATACATGGTTGTACAACTGCACCGCGGAGAGAAAGTGTCTGCCTTCGGAGGACAATCTCATCTCGGAGAAAGTCTGGGAGAAGGTCGGCAAGGCTATGACTCAGCTTCGTCGAAACGAGACATCGTCGGTTTCGCTGAACTCGGGCGGTAATCGGGATGTGTCGGAAGAGCTTGTGCGCGAGAATCGTGTGAGTCGGTTGAACCCAGCTATGGCTGCACCACAGCAAGAAGTTCGTGAGCCAGAGGTCGTGACCAGGGAGCAAAATCCTCTTGCTCGGGAGAACCTTACTCGTACCTGTGTGCCTGAAACTCACAACACGATTGGAACTGAACTACCCGCTACAGAGGTCGTTCGAGGCGACATTCAGGCCGAGTCAGGCGATCCAGGCTCGATTAATGTGCCCTTCATCGACAAGCAAATGGCGCTCTCTGCGCTGTTACCGGAAGATGAAGCGTCGACGGCGCGAGAAATCATTAGTCAGGGCGGCGGAAGAGTGATTGATTCGCGCACTGGCAGAGAATTCATGACGGCTGACTTCATGGTATGCCCATCGATGCCAGGTGCAGAAGAGCGACGGATGTTGGCAAAGATGGCAATCGGTAAGACGCAGCTCGTGACATGCTTTTGGCTGGAAGAGTGCTTGCACCAGGGTAAGATCATCGACGTGATGAACTCTGTGGCGTATCGACCGCTCGAAAGCGACCTACCGGAAATGAACGATGTTCACATCAGCACATCGCAATACGATGAGAGCGTGAAACGCGCTATTCGATACATGTGCGCACTTGTCGATGCCAAGTACTCTGATCGCCTAACTCGAACACAGAACACCCACTTGCTCACGCCGATCGCTTCTGGTGCGAAGTATAAAGGTGCTTCGGAGTGGGGTCACATAATCACCACAGTCGAGTGGTTGGAGAACTCCATCAAGATTGGCAAGCGTCTCAAAGAGTCCGATTTTGTTCCTAGGTCTGATCCCGAGCGGCACGCGGACTCGCAAGCCGAGCCAGATCAACGTACCAAGTCGTTTCCTCAGGTTGGAAGGGATCTCTCTGCTTTACTGCAAACGTCTGACGCGAATGTGTTGACACCGAACAGCATCACAAAGAGTACTCCGAGCACCGACAGCCGAAAGCGCAAGTCTGCTGACCTCCGCGGGAAGACTCCACTTTCTCGTAAGTCCTCCGGGACGACTCCTGGAAGTAAACGCCTGAAAACTCCGAACAGTAGAGCAAAAGCGACTGAACAGCTGTACAACGAGGTCATGGAGAAGATGGAAGAGCAAGAAGAAAGACAGAGACTGCAACCGATGCCAACTGAACCCATCAGTTTCCCGCCGCCAACGCTGGTTGCCGCACGAAACGCGACGGGGATTTCAAGTTTGCAGCTCACTCAGCAGGAAAAGCACGAAACGCAGGTGGGATACGCGGATTTCAAGCGGAACTCACCGAGAAAGTCTCCTCGCGCACGACTCGATGGAACGGACAAGCTGAACACATTGTTCTCCACGTCCACCAATGCGACGACCACGAGGAGCATCACCTCGCAAGGCGATAACCCAAGCGAGTGGATTTAGAGCAATAGTACTACATGTAGCTTAGCATAGCAAACGTAGCTTGATGTTGAACCTTCACCATCCGTAGTGCACACGCATACCTGACTTCAGAGTTCGCCATGCTGTCCTCGACCCTTCGAGCGCTCGGTGAGACGCTCGCCTCCGCTCCCTCGCGGTCGAGCTCGAGAGTGTTTCAATACTCGTACTCCACTCGCTCGCCCGCGCTCAGGGCGTTCAAAACGCCGCGCGAGGTGTCGACCTGTGAGACAGTGGCGAAGAAGAGTCGCTTCGTCGCCGCCGTGTCCCCGTGCGCGTCCCCCGATGAGGCCTTGGCGTTCGTCCGCGAGCGCGGCGACGCCGGTGCGTCGCATAACTGCTGGGCCTTTCGCATCGGCGATGACGTGTATCGATTCAGCGACGACGGCGAGCCGGGCGGAACCGCCGGACAGCCAATATATTCGGCGATACAGAACAGCGGCCTCGATCGAGTGGTGGTTCTCGTGACGCGGTACTACGGTGGCACGCAGTTGGGAACCGGTGGTTTAATCAGAGCGTACGGCGGAGCGGCCCAGACGGCGCTGGAGCTCGCGACGCGCACCGCGGTCGTGGTCACCCCGAGGTGCGACGCCGTTTGCAATATGGACGCGGCAGACGTAGGTCGCGTCTTCTCCGCGCTGGACGAGTTCAGTGCGGAAAAAGTAGACGAAGAGTACTCGGATGACGGGACCGTGCACGTGCAGGTCATCATAGAGGAGAGTGTGGCAGAGAATTTGCGAGAGAGGATCCTCAATAGCACGAGCGGTCGAGCAGACTTCAAGTGGTGGCCGTCCGGAGGATGACCCGACGTAAACGTGCGGCCTAGCTTCTAGAAATCAAATAATAAAACGTCAAATCGTATGCACTACGTCCACTCTAACTCCCATGGATGCCAATCCTTCTCGCTCGGCACAACGCTCTTCTTTGCGACGTCCCGTCGCATCGCCTTCCGCATGTCGAACGCGTCCTCCTCTCCGCTGTAATAATTCAGCACCCTGCGATACACCGAGTACCCAAACTTTTCATACATCCCGATCGCGAGTTTATTCGACACTCGAACGAACAGATCGACGAAGTACCCGTCGTTCGCGTCCTCCGTCGCCCGCTCGAGCGCGCCCATCAACTCTCGCGCGAGCCCTTGTCTCCGGTGCGTCGGCGCCACCGTCACCGCCGTCACGTGCCCGTGCCACAGCTCCCCCGAGCCCTCGACCTTACCCATGACGTACCCGCACGGATCGCCCTCGCGGTCTCGCGCGCACGTGAACATCTCGGGCCACGTCGAGAGGTAGTGCAGGTAAAAGCGCAGACCGTACGTCTCCGTCAACGCGTCCACGTTCACCGCGTTGTACCGCAAGAGGTCGCGACAGGTGAAGGGTGAGAGCGTTGTCATCGCTCTCGACTTCGAGGCGCGCGAGCGCGGTGCGCGAGGACGCGCGACGACGTTTGAGGCGATGCGTCGCGCGTCGGGGACACTTTTGGGGATTTTCTCAATGCGTCTTCGCTTTTCGCTTCACACTTCGGTGCGTCGCGGCTCGAGGCGCGCGAGTCGACGGCGAGTGCGAGGAGAGTTGAATATCACGTCGACGGTGGTTCTTTCCGATGGGCGTGAACGCGTTGAGAGCGGACGAAGACGCGCTCAGGACGACGTTGGAGTTTTTGCGCAGACACAACCTGACTGCGTGCGAAAAAGCGCTCGCGCGCGAGATGGCACGGGAAGACGGCGGCGCGAGCGGCGGAATGGATTATGGTGATGTCGAAGAGACGACCAGCGAGGAGGCGTCGGATTCGGAGGATGAAGAGGAGAGCAAATGGAGCGCGTCGACGCTTCGACGCTTGCGAAGCGTGGACGTGAGCGGACGCGCGATGGTGACGATTGCGGAGGAGATGGAGGAAAAGCGGGCGAAAGAGGAGAGACGGGCCAGTACGGTGTCGAATGTCGAGCCGTTCGATGAGTTGGACGGGACGAGGACGCACGAGGAAGCGCTGGCGATGTGGCGCGCGCGAGGAGACGCAAATTGCGAGTACGAAGACGACGACGATGAGGGATTCGAAAGGTGCTTTGTACCCAGGCATGAGGTCTGGAAATACGTCGTAGACTCATTCGTCGCGACGGAGGTGAAGCTCGAGGGTGAGCCGGATGATGACGGACATGTGCACTTTAAGTCGGCTGAAGGCGATGGGAAGACGCCGACGGAAGGCGACGCCAAGACGCCGACCCTCGATCGCCCGGGGAGCTTCACCTTTGGCGATGGTCCGAGCGAGAGTGAGATAGCTGATGGAAACACCACGCCATTACCCTCGGGTTGGACGGATCCCACGCACAGCGCGTACGATGCTTTCCATTTGAAGGTGTATCACAAGGCAAGTAAAACTGGTTTTGAGACTTCAAAGGAATTCGTCGTTAAGTACGGTGACGTCGTGGCGAACAGGTACAGGATAGCCGAAGGAATTGGACGAGCGGCGTTCAGTAAGACGGTGCGCGCGCAGGATCTCCAGACGAATAAGGCTGTGTGCTTGAAGATAATAAAGAACAACAAGGATTGTGTGGACCAAGGACTGGACGAGATCAAGCTATTGAAGATGCTCAACGACAAGGATCCGAAGGACGAGAAAGGCATTTTGCGCATGCTTGATTTTTTCTACTTTAAAGAGCATCTCTTCATTGTCAGCGAGCTGTTACGAGCGAATCTGTACGAGTTTCAAAAGTACGATTTGGAAACCACTCCCACGCCGTACTTCTCTCTGGCTCGAATTCAACGCGTCGCGAAGCAAGTGCTCAAGTCTCTTGTCTTTGTGCACGATTTTAACCTGATTCATTGCGATTTAAAGCCTGAGAACATTTTGATGAAGTCCTACGCCGATTGCACCGTCAAGATCATCGACTTTGGCAGTTCGTGTTTCACCACCGATGTGATCGGTACTTACGCGCAGTCCCGAGCGTACAGGGCGCCAGAAGTCATCATCGGTACTCAATACTCGCAAAAGGTTGATGTGTGGTCTCTTGGTTGTATTCTCGCCGAAATATACAGCGGAAGAGTGTTATTTCGCAATAATTCCGTGTCGGGTCTGTTGGCGAGAGTGGTAAGCATGAGGGGGCCGTTCGATCCAAAGATGCTCGCACAAGGAACGCAGAGCCAGAAGTACTTCACCAAGCAAGGATTTTTATACGAACTGGACGAGATGAGCGGTAGCTTGACTATCCTTCGACCGAAGAGGACGAGTTTACGGAGGAGAATCGGTAGTGATGACGAGGATTTAGTTGACTTTTTGGAACGACTATTGTGCGTCGATCCTGAACGGCGCGCGAGCGCCGCTGAGGCGCTCGCGCATCCTTGGCTCTCAAAGGTGTATGAACAATAGATTTGTCCAATGATTCGTTGTACAAATGAACTTAAATTTCCACTTTTATGTCTATCGTCGATCGTAACGGTCGTACTTGTCTTCGCGCCTGTAAGGTTTGTACGAGTCGCGATCTCGCGAGCGCGAGCGATCCCGTCGCCTGTCTCGGTCGCGCGAGCGAGAACGTTCCCGCCTGTGATAATCTCTGTCTCTGTCTCTATAGCCACCATCGCGTCTATCATCGTAGTGGTTTCGATTGCGGCGATCGTCGTAATCTCGTCGACCGCTCGCGCTCGGGGCCCGTCTGCCGACGTGCGTTGCAAGTGAGTTCTTCACAGACTGCGGCTGAGAACCACCAGCAATGCGGCTCCCGCCCTGACCACCGCAACCGAGACCTTTATCTGAGTATCCAAGCTCCTTGATCCTCTCCACGATCTCTCTCCTCGCAACCTCAGGAATCCTCGGCAGGATGGTTTCGAAGTACCTCTGCTCGAGCAGCAAGTCGCGAACGAACGCGCCCATCGTCACCTCCTTCCCGTCCGGCGACGGTTTAAACTTTTCCTCGTCTCCGAAGAACTCCTCGCACCACTTCAAGAGCTCCCGCCCGTTCTTCACGTACCGTACATACAGGAACCCTAAAGCTCGGATAAACGGCGAGTCTCCGTGCCTCAACAAATGCCACACGTTGCCGTCGCTGAGCTCCATCTCACAGAATTGAAACAAGATGCAAAACCCCGTCGACGCCCCCCGCGCGTTCCCGCACATCCACGGTTCGCAGTGATCGACCAATTCATAAATCTCATCCACGAGCGCCATGAAATCGTACGCCGGTCGCCCCAGATCGTCCGCGCGACGAAGTTTTCGAAAGTATTCTGAGTGCGCAATGTTTTGTCGAAGCACCTCCTCGACGCCGTGCGACTTCCCGCTCGTCGCCGCGCCGTTCCCGAACGGGGTCCAGATCGGTCGTCCGTGGTTTTCGATCACCGACGGCATCGCTCGCGCCCACGCGTCGGGCGCGATGTGCGGTGCGCGCGCGGGCGTCGCGCGCCCGGGAGATCACTCCGTGTGGGCAAACAGTCTGATTCACGTCAGTCACCCACGCACGCGGTCCGCCCGAGCCCGCCGCCGGTGATGGGAAAAAGTGGTGAAAAAATCCGTGCGTGGAGACGATCGCCCGCGCGACGACGCGCCCCGCACACCGCGCCCGCGCGCGTGCGAAGACCCTCGCGCGCGCGACGATGAGCGCTCCCGCGGACGCGCCGAGGAACACCGCGAGACGAGACCTCCTGCTCGATCTCCAGCGCCGGGCGCAGGCGCGATGGGAGGAGACCAAGGCGTTCGAGGTGGACGCCCCGGCGCGCGCGAGCGAGGCCGAGAGCGAGGCGAAGTTCTTCGGGAATTTTCCGTACCCGTACATGAATGGATTGTTGCACCTCGGACACGCGTTCTCGCTGTCAAAGCTGGAGTTCGCGTCGGCGTATCACAGGTTGAAGGGCGATCGCACGCTGTTCCCGTTCGCGTTTCACTGCACCGGGATGCCGATCAAGGCGTGCGCGGATAAGATCACGAAAGAGATCGCGCAGTACGGGAACCCGCCGGTTTTCCCGGACGAGAGTGAGCTCGCGGCGGCGGCGGAGGCCAAGGCGGCGAAGGAGGCGGCGAACGCGGGGCCGACGGACCCGACCAAGTTTGTGGCGAAGAAGTCCAAGGCCTCGGCGAAGAAGGGGACGCAGAGCACGCAGTGGGGGATCATGCAGGCGAGTGGGATCCCGGAGGATGAAATTCCGAGCTTCGCGGACTCCATGCACTGGTTGAACTACTTCCCACCATTGGCGAAGCGAGACGTCGCGGCGATGGGTTGCCAAGTCGACTGGAGACGCTCGTTCATCACCACCGATGCAAACCCGTTCTATGACGCGTTCGTTCGATGGCAGTTCAACACGTTGAAGAAGATCGGTAAGATTGTGAAGGCGAAGCGCTACGCTGTTTACTCGCCGATCGACGGTCAGCCGTGCGCCGACCACGACAGAGCTTCAGGCGAAGGCGTTGGACCGCAAGAGTATCTCCTCATCAAGATGGCTGTGTATGAGGAGTGCCTCACCGGCGATTTGGCTCCGTTGAAGGGTAAGAAAGTGTTCTTGGCCGCGGCGACGTTGCGTCCGGAGACGATGTACGGCCAGACGAACTGCTGGATTTTGCCAGACGGTGACTACGGCGCGTACGAACTCGCGAATGGAGAAGTTCTCGTCATGTGCGAGCGTGCCGCCCTCAACTTGTCGTATCAGGAACAGTTTGCCGAAGAGGGTAAGCCGAAGTGCTTACTCAGCTTCAAGGGCCAAGCTTTGATCGGCTGCGTGGTGGAATCCCCGAGAGCGGTTCTCAAAAAAATTTACTGCTTGCCCATGATGACCATTTTGATGAACAAGGGCACGGGTGTGGTGACCTCCGTCCCGTCCGATTCGCCGGATGACTTCATGGCTCTCAGCGATCTCAAGGCGAAGGCTGGTCTTCGCGAGAAGTTCGGGGTCAAGGATGAGTGGGTGATGCCTTTTGAGGTTGTTCCTTGCATTAACATTCCTGAATTTGGCGACGCGTGCGCACCGAAGGTGTGCGCCGAACTCAAGATTCAGTCTCAAAACGATCGCACTAAGCTCGATGAAGCCAAGCATAGAACGTACTTGAAGGGTTTCACTGATGGTATCATGCTCCTTGGCGAACACAAGGGTAAACCAGTGAAGGAAGCAAAGCCTATTATCAGGCAGGAGATGATTGACGATAAGACTGGTTTGGTGTACAGCGAGCCCGAGCGAACTGTCATGTCCCGTTCCGGCGGTGAGTGCGTCGTCGCGCTCACTGATCAGTGGTACCTCGAGTACGGTGAAGAGTCTTGGAAGTTGAGAGCCGACAAATGCCTCGAGAACATGAACTGCTACCATGAAGAAGCTCGAAATGGTTTCATTCACACTCTCGGGTGGCTTCGTCAGTGGGCTTGTAGCCGCTCGTTCGGCCTGGGCACGAGAATGCCGTGGGATCCGCAGTACTTAATCGAGTCGCTTTCGGACTCCACCATTTACATGGCGTATTACACTGTTGCCCACCTGTTACAAGGTGGAGACATGTTTGGCAACGCGCGGCCGTCAGTCGAGCCGGAGCTTATGACGGATGCAGTTTGGGATGCCATCTTCCTCGGAACCGAGAAGCCTGACGAGAATGTTTTCCCGCGTGATTTGCTTGATCGTATGATCAACGAATTCAACTACTGGTACCCGTTTGACCTTCGTGTCTCCGGAAAAGATTTGATTCAAAACCACTTGTCTTTTGCCATCTACAACCACACGGCGATCTGGGAAGATAAAAAGATGTGGCCGCGCGCATTCAGAACGAATGGTCACTTGCTTTTGAACAATGAGAAGATGAGTAAGTCTACCGGTAACTTCAAGACGCTTAAGCAAGCCATCGAAGAGTTTAGCGCTGACGCAATGCGTTTCAGTCTTGCGGATGCTGGTGATACGGTCGAAGACGCCAACTTCGTCGAAGATACGGCAAACGCCGCTATTCTGCGCTTGACGAAGGAGATTGCTTGGTATGAAGAACAAAACGCTGACATCGAAGCAGATAAGCTACGCAAGACGGCTCCGAACAAGTTCATCGATCGTGTCTTTGCAAACGCCATGAACATTGCCATCGCGCAGACGCAAGCCAATTATGAAAACATGATGTTCCGCGAAGCGCTGAAGACTGGCTTCTATGATTTGCAGTCTGCAAGGGATGCGTATCGTCTCATGAGTGCCGAAGAAGGCGGCATGCAAGTTGACCTTGTGAAACGCTTCATGGAGGTACAAACTCTGCTCCTTGCGCCAATTTGTCCGCACACGTGCGAGCACATCTACGGTCAACTCCTGATGAAGGAAGGCAGCGTCACTAACGCAGGCTTCCCCGTCGGTGAACCGGAAGATACTGCCCTCACTGCTGCGAACAAATATTTGGGTGATCTTATCACGAATATGCGTAAGGGAATCGCCAAGTGTACGGCTCCTCCGAAGAAGGGACCGAAGGGTCCGCCTAAGTCTGTCAAGTCTGCCACTGTCTTCATTGCCTCTGAGTTCGTCGGATGGCGCGCCATTTGCTTGGGCATCTTGTCTGAGTGCTATGAAGCAAAGATGAAGTCGTTCCCACCCGTGCCAGAAATCCTCGAAAAGGTCAAGGGCAGCGAACTTGCGGGAGACGCCAACTTCAAAAATGTCATGAAAATGGTCATGCCTTTCATCAAGTACAAGATGGATGAGACGAACGTCGCCGGTGTCTCAGCTCTCAGTCTGAAGAGTATTTTCAATGAGATAGACGTGCTCTCGGAGAACATCGATTTCATCAAGCGCGCGTTACACGTGCCTGAGGTGAGGATTTGTCTCACAACGAGTGACAACGTGGGCTCGAAGGCTGACGAAGCCACGCCCGGATCCCCGGCTTTCGAGTTTGAAGTCGTGGAAGACGTTACTGAAGGCAATAATCTCGCCGAGGGTCTCGCGAGAGTGCTTCTGAACTAATTAGCTTGCTGTAGGAAAAATCAAACATTCAATTCAAATGAACTCAAATTAATTGAAAGCGGTGCTAGAACTAGAACGCTACAGCCATCTCGACGCATTAAATTCTCTACGGTCGTTTGGTTTCTCACGCCAGCCGTAATTATGACGCGATCTAGGAACGAAATTTGACCCCTCATCTTCGTCATCGCGGTATCCCATATTGAGCACTTTGCGCTTCACTTCAGCGAGCTCAGCCTCTTCAGCTTTCATGACCTCCTTGACGCTCGCCACAAACTCAGCGCCCTCAGGTACATTGAGTTCCTTCGTGACCTGCTTTCCCTGGTTCTTTACCAACATTTTGAACATGATTGTACCCCCAGAAGTGTTCTTCGGTTTGTAAATACTCGCTTTCGAGAAGTTTCGTGTAGCACTACCAAGGGCCGGATTAGCAGGTGTGCCAAGGAATTTATTCATTTCGCGCTCGAAGTCTCGCTGCTCTTGCATCGAAGCTTGCTTGAGCTTCATGCGAACTTTAACTTCCTGCTCCTCTTCGGAAGCCTCGGATCCGTCACCAGACGCATGTTCATCATTGACGTCCATGTCCGAGTCGACTGAGGGCTCGCTAACGGATGATTCTTCGTCCTCCTCATCCGCCGACTCCTCCATGTCTTCATCCTCAGGTTCCTCACTCTCACTCAACCCCTCAACTTCATCTTCTTCCAATACGGTCTCCATGCCACCAGGCGTAGTATTTGGCTTCTCGATAAGTTTTTTACACTCGGCATTCGCTTCCTCGTAAGTCTCACAGATTTTCATTCGCGGATTCAACGCCACCAGCACCTCCACGACGTCGTTTGCAACATCTACAGCGACGTCCTTTGTTAGGGCATAGCGCTGGAAGAAGATGAGAAATCTATCGAGTTCCTTTCGCTGCGCGTGATTCATCGCACCGTGGCCTTTAAGGGCGTTTTCTAAAAGTGTACAAACCATGCGGAGGCGAATCGTGTCGCCCGGGTAGTCCTTCGCTTCGCGCCCATCATAACCGATAGAAATTATCAGGTAGAGCGTGTCAAGGATCTCGCGGAAGTGCGAGACGCGTTCCTTGTACAAACATGCAAGAAGCCTCATATTTGCGACACGTCGTTGGTGCATCCACGTCTCGTTTACTTCTAGTCCGAATCGAACATCTTCGAGCACAGCGTCCAGACATCGCACAGCAAGCGTCGGATAGAACTGGGACAACTTTGCAATCAGCGCAGCGACGGCTGGTACCGATGAATGCCTGAGCTTGCACACCTTGAGTAATTTCTTCACGAGATATTCCTCCGTCTCGTCCCACGGTAGCTTTCGGAGTTGCGTCGCCACTTTCTCTAACGTCCGCTTTGACAGTTGAGAAAAAATGAGATCTCGTATGTACTCTTGCATCGGCGGCCGAGTTTTACGTACGATGATCGTCTGAACTGGTCTGCACTTGTAATAAGCGCTGTCAACCAGTGCGCACTGACGCGCATCGAGTTGGCTCACGGCTTTCAGTCGCAAGAAGATGTCCAAAATACTTCCCATTCGCTTTGACGTTGTCTGTGTTCTCGTGAGGTAGTAACCGGCTACATCAAACAGAGAACACAGAACATCGACGTTGTCTCCGTGAAAATCGTCAACGAGTAGTTTAATGACTTCGAAAACCGTACTCAAATCCGTTATCATCCCGAACTTGACGAGCTCGCCGATGAAAATGATGTTCTTCAACCGCTCGCCAAGATTTGCGCGCGTACCCTTCTTCATGAGATAATCAAAATCCTCCTTGAGAGCCTTTGACACGGTGGGAGCGATGTCATCAAAAACGGCCCCGAGAGTTGCGATCATTCTACCATAAAAGGGAATGCGATCGATCTCCGACCGTCGAACGTTCAGGAACTCTTGAATCAAACGCTTCCTACCACCTCGAGCTCCGATGTAACAAAAATCTGTGCAAATTGAATCAGCTTTGTCCTTTGACATGCAGTCGGATAGTCGCAAGATTAATCCCTGTAACTTTGCAGTACGTCCCTCAGTGATGTCTTCCTTTTCCCGCTTGAGTCGCTCGGTCTCGGACTCGATCTCTTGCGTATCGCTAGCTAATAACACCGCCGGTATGGAGGCTTGTAAATCTGGAAGTGTCTCATAAAAGTGCCGCTGCTCCTCGTCTTCCCACAAATCACTTCGTTCGCTCGATGTCCGCACGCCACCTCGATGTAGTTCCATTGTTCCCACGGGTGCAACCCTCTCCTCGACCTTCTTTTTCATCTCTGGAAGCTCTCGTCCAAGCGTCTCGGCAAGAGTCGTCGCCCCCTTCAACAATCCGTCAAAAACCTTCGTGAGCGCCGCGAACTCCACAGATGCAGATTCGCTCACCGCTCCGGTACGTTCTAGCAATCGTGCTATCTCGCGCTCTTGCTCCGTCATGGCAAAAAATGCCTCCATGAGCACGAGGAAGAGTCTGTCGCAGTACTCGTTGAGCGTCGACTTGAACTCCTGCTGAACATCCGCTGGAAGAACGAAATCTTCGTCGTTCGTCTCAAACTCTGGCTCGGCGCCGAGCATCTCTACCGCGAAAGTTTTCGCGAAGCTTGAGAGCGTGCTCAGGGTGTGTTGATACAGATCAGGCGCGATTTTGTATTCGAGACGCGCCAATTCCTTCACCACATCGAGCACGGGCTTCACTTTGGGACACACGCCGACAATGTGAAGTTCGAGAAACAGACGCAGCTTGATCCGGCGTTGCAACGCCGAGGGTAGCGCTTCGATCTCACCCTCGGCCATCTTCAACAGCGTCTCGGGCCTCGGTGGGACCACGTACGCGCGCAGCGCCTCTTCGAGCGGCGCGGCAAAGTCGGCGTACGTTTGGTGCATGCAAGAGATGATCTCCACCGCCGCGTTCACGTCCGAGCTCTTCATCTTCCCCTCCACGCACGCCAAAGCCGCCTCGCTGACGTACTTGCTCACATTCGTCTTACTCAGCTCCGTCAACAGCGCCCGCGCGTTTTCCTCTGTAATCGTCCGCAACTTTTTAATCAGCGTCGTATTCTTCTTAATGCTCGAATCCCTCGATTTCAGCCCTTGCTCGTCCGGCCTCGACGGCGACGCGTTCCCCACCCTCGCCCTCGCCCTGACCTCGCGCGATCGCTCCCACTCTCGCCGTCTCGCCTCGAGCTCCGCCGCCGCCT